ACCTTCTCCCTCGGAGAGAAAATGTGTTGAAGTTACATTAAATTAAAGCGACACTGAGAACAGGTTGAAAGTGTTTTTTTTTTTTTTTTGTGGTCCTGAGAAAGTTTTTTTTGTTGTTGTTGTTGCTTATTTGTTTCCAGCAGGAACAATATGTTTTGATGTGAGCTAATAGATTCAAGAAAGTTCATGACAATCTAAGCTAATGAATGCTTTATAAGGTCTGCAGGCAGTTCCAATTTGTTGCTGGTAAGAACTAAACTGTAGCAGACAGGCAGATTCTAAAACAAGGAATGTCTTTGTGTGAGTATGTGGTTAATGAAGTTTTGTGTTTATACAAAATGTGAGACTGGAGAGCTGTGGGAATCATTTCAAAGGCTAAAATAAGGTCTCTAATTGGAGTCTGCACAAAGTAACAGTCGTTATTTTGGACATAGTAGTACAGCAAGTCAAAAAAGCAACGTTCTGCTATTAAAATCATAGACTCAACTATACAAGGCAAGCATACTGTACTGTAGGTAAGGTCATTGTTGTAGTGCCTTTCAGATGGAAAACCTTGAAAAACGGTTTTACATTCTATTATGACTTATCTTTTCTTTATTTGTACTTTCTCATATACACAATTAGAAAGCTTTTAAATAATATTATTAGTTTATTGCATTTTATTTAAAATATTTAAAGAGCTGCATTTTAATAATAGATGCTCTAAAAGAAACAACCTTACTGTACCTAAAACACATTACACGCTCTGTAGCACGTAACAGCTCTTATGTTCACGCCGTTATTAGGTTTTATTCTGCCCTGAGCTGTACTCGCTCAGACGCAGGGCTCTTTTGATAGATTTAAGCTGGGGCACGGTGTGTACTGCGGTCGTTCCAGTACTCAAATATGATGCAGTTTGTTGGAAAACCACTAGTGCCACCTAGTGGAATTAAACCAAACGTGCTCTTTGGGCTTCAAAAGGGAAATGGGTGGGGTGGGGCGAGGGGAAAAAAAAACACTTTTTTTCTCGCCTTAGTGTTTATTGTGTGGGCTTTTACCAGGTGAATCATCGTACAGCACAGACGTGTGTGGTCAAATAACTGTAAGAATCAATGAGCAGACTTGTCTAGATATTGCAAGCACGTCCTGAATCAACAAGGGAGAAAAAAGATCAATGAAACGGCTTATAAAATTCTATTGATGAAATGGGATTTGCAGTCATGAAGGTATTTAATTCGCTTTCTTTTCAGGAATTCGAAAACTGAGCCCTGAGTTCAATTCTGCCTAAAGTCAATAAATCAAATGAGATTTAGTCTCAGTCTTTTTTCATTCATTCACATATCTAACAAAAAGATATGGATACTTGGCTATTGTAATTTTGCTGGCCTCTTTATAGCCAGAATTCCGGAATGATCTGTTTTTTTTTTCTAGATGAGTCATACAGTCCCACACATTTAAGTAAGCTATACCTGGAAATAGCTGTGACCTTTTCTGTCCAATAGCCTGCCTTTAATTATTACTGCAGCTGAAAAGAATTTACAGTATTACAGCAAAACCAGCTGTTTGGGGGGGGTTCAAATATGATCATGCAATTAAATCCTGTGATAGGAAAACAGCATATGTTAATCTCAACTTTTAATGAGATTTTAAATAAATGTTACAAGACAATACATATTTCAGTCTAATAACTACTGAATCGCATTTTTGCTCTTATTTTAATCTGTTTAAAATATTTCATTGCTCTGTGTTTTGTGTGACTCCATTCCTTGTTTCCTATTTCCTTCAGAAATACATTTGAGCTAGGCCTGGACCAAAATTTTAAAGAACTATTTAAATACATTTGAATAGGTTTATCATTATGGGACTTTGGAAAATCCTGCATATCACACAGTATTTGTTTTATACAAGAATACAACATTGGTTTTAGGAGAAGAAAAAAAATGTTTTTTGCTAAGTAACACAAAAATGAAAAGGGAAAATGGTGTAATGTTGCTCCTCAATTGCAAAACCCAGCTTTCTCTGTCTTCCCAGTTAATATTTTACAAAGTAATTTTTTATCAAATAAAATGTAATCAAATACATTCTCATATTGGGGGGTTTGCAGATAAAGTAGGCTAGCTGCTACAAGTAATCTGTTTCTTTACGAACCAATACAGAACAAAAACATGGCCTCTAACAAAATCACAAATACAAGGACAAAAGATGTGTAAACATGAGGAAAACATTTAAATGGCCCTTGAACAATGTCTTGATAAGTCTTTGAATTAATGGATGAATGGATGTTTGTATTTCATTTTCCTTTTAACAGTTCAGTTTCTTACAAAATGTGACTCCCCCTCTCAATTGCTTTGAGCCAAAAAACAAAAAAAAATACTCAGTTGGTAGCAATCGCTTATTGGGCCAGACGTGTAGCTGAACAAATAAATTAGAAAGGACCTTTGTGTTTGCTTGATGGCTGTTTTTGTTCCCCACAAAAATCTTGATCACATTTTTTTTCTAACACAGGGATGGAAAGCATTGAAAGGAACTGGCAAACACAAAGTAACTAGAAATGCCTGCCAGAAATATAGTGATTCATTGAATCTTTGCACTTCATTTGCCTGTCACTGTCAGAGAAACTCAATCACAATCGAGTTGTCTGTGGCTTGTTTATCACATCGTCTTCTTCAGTCTATGCTCAATTTGACTCAGTTCTACACAAATACTGCTAAATGAATATCTTTTCCTTAGCCCGTATGATTTTTTTTCAGAACGTGTTCATTCACTACATTGTGTTTAATGCACACTGTTTTGTCTATTCACTATAACCTCTATTAATTTGGCCTTCGCAAAAACTGAGGCAAAACAATGTTCAGGATGTCTCACCAGCAGTTTGGGAGGAAAAAGACCATCTATTAAATGCATGATTAATTCAATAGTCTTTAACAAACTAGGGAATACACTGAAGAAAGAGTGCACTGCCATTTCAGCCACCTGTTCCCTGAAAATAAAGAGCACAACCATTATAAGAGTGACAGATATGGTACATATTTAAAGCAACAAGGGGATAATGGAAATAGATAAATAGATACTTTATTGATTCCATGAGGGAAATTGCAGATATATTGGAGTAGGTGAACTAGGTATTGAAAATTAATAATATAGATTAGGGTAATTGCAACAGGAAAAAAGCATAGTTGAAATGGTTAACTTTTTTGTGTGTGCATGTTCTACGTTTCATATTGCCAAGGTGTTTTTTGCTTTTACTGCATGGTCCAGTTCCTTCTTTACCAACAGAAACAGACATCCTGGGTACTGTGTGGACACAACATCAAACTGAAAGACACGGACGTGCAATGTCACAATAACATGGAAAGACTTTTGTTCTGCTATGTATAGCAAAAAGACATTTTTACTTGAGGTGAAAATAGTATGGTTATTCCCCCAGTCCCTTAGAAATGGAATATCTGTGTACTTGTTCCTCTCCCTCAGAAACAATATCACAACTCTTACCATAGATTTTTAGTTTTTGGAATCGCTTTTGCGCTTGACATGGGATACCTTTCTAACAAAGTAGACAGATGAAGACCTCCTAATAATATAAATGGCTGATGAAAAGCAGAGAAGTCAAAGACATAACTCCCTTTTAGAAGATGAGACTGTAAGGCTGCAGCAGTTGGATTCATAAACATTTTAGTATTCCTACCAGCTTTCTCGCAAAACCCAAGCACATAATATTCAGTTGATGCAGGGAAAAGAAGAACAATTAATTATTAATAATTCAGAGGGATGTGTATAGTTTGTTCCTCATTATAGTGCTTCTGTCACCATCCTTCAAGCTAATGACTGCTCTGCCACATTGTACAGTCCAATCGAATCCATATGGCATTGCTAGGAAACCCCACATTGGAGCAGCCAGGATGTCATTGATTGTCAGTGTCGAAGCCATTACGAGAGAAATGTTTAATATGAAAGAAATGTATCTTGACACTTGCCAAAAAAAAAATGCAGTCAGAGCATTTTTTTCAGAACATTTGAGAATATCTTTCTCAGAAGTGCGCTAAGTGTCTCTAAAGCTTCACTGCCACCTGTTGTTCTTCACATTCTGTTTTTATTTCTTTTTCAAATGCTGTCGTTATTTTGCTGGCACTATGAAATCCAGACAACAAAATAATTTGTCATTCTTTTGTGGCTGGAAATAAAATTCATACACTAGATATATGGTGCTATTTATTTTAATAGGTATCTTTGTCCTTGGGTTACTATTCAACATTTATTATGTGTTTTACAATTTCAATTTTCAATAATACCTAAGCCAAATGATTTGCTTTAATTTCATGACGTTAAGAGAATGATACTCTAGATAAAAATATTAATTTTCTACAAACAGGACTTTTTTAGAGGGACATTCAAGAATACATGATTCCAGACTATTATAGCTGACCAATTTTGCCATTTCATTTTTTTCAACATTCCCCAAGCATACAATACTGAGAACTATAAAATCTCTCATGAATAAAATGTATAAAAGCCATCTGTGCTTTTTATTGCACATTATAAAAAACTAATGTATCAATCACCAATTTGTTCTTTTATACTACATTGTACTGTTATGTTAAACTTCACCCTCACAATGGTCAATATTACCTGATTTGGGCAGGGGAAGACTTTTAACGCCCTATAAAACTAAAGCTTAAGGACAAATTCACAGATGTACTTTGTTTTATTAAGTGGAACAATGGAATCATAAGAGAAACCTTATTAACCATTTCATTCTTAATTTGAGCCATAAAAACACAGCAGTCTTTTCCACCTGCAGGAGTAATTCCTACATTCAGGTCACCCCAAAATGAGAACCTGGTCCTTGCTCTTCTCCACAAATTAAAGGCTAGTAGTAGTGGAAATAAAAACAGATTGATAGTTGAATTTTGTCTAATCTCCAAGCACTGGTTAGCATGCAAAATCTGTGAAAGTCAAATACAGCCTGTCCCTAAAGGGAATGTTCATTATGTCAGTCTCTTAGACAAGAAATTTAGAGAAAATATTTGTTTAACTTTTATTTGCATTGGGTACAAACTTTGTTTCAATACTATGATTTCAAACATTGCACTATTAATTCAGCTCGCTGTACAGATCCATTGGCCGCCTTTAACCATTTTGTTGTGTGTAACCAGTTTTTCAGATTTATGGTAATCTGGAAAACACTTTAGAAGAAAAGCAACCTTTCTACACAACTGATACAATGCAATACAGTCAGGAATTTGCTTTTTAGTACTTTTAGAAATTGAAAAGGCCTATTCAAAAAGAAAGAAGACATTACTGTTCCAATTCAACTTTGAACTATCATGTTACATACTGCTAAACAATCATTTTTATAATGTCTTTATTTGTCAATAAACTGTATAACCAATACCATTTCCAACAAACACAACATCCTGAGAGTTGAACCATAACATGACAATGCATTCACACATAACCAAAGCTTGGATCAAACCACATTTCCAGATTGCGTGTTTAAAACACATTGTAGTGGGTCACTAGACAGAAACATACCATCTGCTGGAGATTTCCCACATCTGAACAATGAAACACTATGATGCCATGTTGGGTTTCAATTTGTGATGGGCAGACGGGCTAAAGATTTGATTTAATGCACATCCCTTCTTTTTTCATTCAGGGCTTTGATAGATCTTTTTCTTGGGAAACTGATTATTCACAATTTTCATTCTAGCTCTCAGTTACTTAAAGTACCTCGTACACAATCTTAAGTGTGGTAACACCTATTAATTGCTCTTCAGCGCCTCAAAAAAGTTACCACTTTCTAGTTATTTATAAATTCTAACGTGTTCCTTGAAAGTTTCACCTGAGTTTCTAAAGATGTCAATGTCTCACATTGTTAAATGTCCAATAAAGTAACCTAAAGCCTAGCCAGAAGAACCTGGGTTTGGGAAATCCTGTTTTAGCCAAATTAATATTAATTGCCTTTGATTTTGGATAAGACTTTTTTTTCCTGTAAAATTCTACGATCAGTGATGTGTTCAGAGTTCACAGTGTATCTATGATTTCATGTTGACAACATGCCTCTATTGAAAAATAAATTTCCCTGAATGGTGAAGAACAGCACTCTTATTTTCAGAAAGATTCAAGCAAATATTAAGGCACAACAGTATTCTTACACCTAACACTGTAACTCTTAACAGTATTTAATTGTAAAGCAGCATAACCTTGTGCATTTATAAAAAAAGATTCCATAGAAGAGGACAGGTGAAAAAATATAATACAATAACAAAATATTTGGTATTAGGCAGAAGGGAGAGACAGTCTTTTGATAAACTCACCATACAAATGCACTTTTCAATAAAGACCAAGTGTGAAAGTCAAGTCACCTTTGCAGGAAATTAAATTAACTGGCCTCACATTATGGCATTATGGGAAGTGTGAACATCATATTATGTTAACCATCTCATTGAATTAAAGGCACTTACATTTTCATTGCTCCACAGACAAGCACAGTTACATTACAATATCATTTGCAGCAGATGCAAGGCAAACAAATTAGGTCGTATCTTAAGAAAATGAACCAGAAAGCTGGTGCTTATTGGGCTCCTGTTCCAAAATTCAAATGGGCACTGACTGAGACAGCATGACTAGCAGAATTAAGAGAGTTCCATTATGAACTACAGAATACACTGTGTATTTAAACAATGTGCAACCTGGTGTTCCATTAGATTGCATTGGGGTATTAATTATTATGCTAATTCACAGCTCTAAACTGTATTATATAAATGCCATTCACTTTGCAAACAACGCCCGCCTTACCACTCTGATTCTGACAGGTTTGTTATTTAACAGCAAGAACTCAAGTAGGAGCTGAAAGTCCTTTCAAGATATCTATTAGAATATAAATTTTGAAAAAAAAGAGTAAATTTTAAGGTTCTCAGAGAGATAACTTCCCTCGGTGTTCAAGTGCCACCAATGTAAATGGCTATTGAGGAAAAAATACAGCTTTTAACACACTGTACAGTAGTTATGAGCCTAACCTTTGTGAAAGTCTACTATGATGAGAAAAGGCTAAGTAAATTACACTGAAACTACAGTGAAATCTTGACTGAGGTATAATAAACTGCAAACCTTCAAAATCAAAGGAAAGCAGAGTACACACATTCTTAAACCCCCAAATACCATCCATATTTACTACAGAAAGCCTCCATTTTACCACAGGAAACATAGAAAAGGTTACTAACAATGAATATAACTTAAAGTCTGACCAAAAAAAGGCATACAATGTACAATAAAATAATTAAACACCACTTAGAAAAATCAAGAAATTTCTGAATGTACTTCAGGACAACTTTCGAGAATAGCAGTGAACAATAATCCCCAAAATCCAAACAGTCAAGATTTAATCAGTGGTTAAAAAAGAAAGAGTCTCATGGAGGCAAGAAAGCACTTGGAAAATGTATAATAATAATTAATTTAAAATGGGGTTCACAATTGTGTTTCACAGATTAAACCCTTTTACTAAATCCAAACACTTTCTACAATTTGATTGCAAATGCCTTATCAAATGTGCATGTTCCATCTAATTCTCTAGAGCCAGGTTATGACATTTTCCATTCCCCCAGGAATGAAAAAAAAAGAACTTTGTTTCATATGGGACTTGGCAACCCTGCCCATTCAAAATGCAGTACTTTGTTTTTCTTCTAGCATGATAGGAACCACTATATCACTGTAATTTAAAATGTGTACATAAATGTGCTATAGGAGCCTGAATACATATTAAAAATATCCTTAAATAAAACTATCATATGTCTCTTAGCTGATGCTTATATAATATAAAAACAAAACTGCTATAAGTTTAACAATTTATTTTGATGATTATGATTCCACTAAAATCTCTGTTTATAATCTTACTCATATATAATAAAATACTATTGGTTTTGTGAGAAGTTAGCTTCACCCATAGTGGAGGAGGGAAAAATCACATTAGACATGGAGATATGTGGACATTCCAGGGTTTAAAATATGCCAGGCCCAGTTTCATACACATGCCCATAACTCCTGCAGAGATTTTACACAGAGAATAATGCTTAGTGGTGCAGTCTTTCTCCATCCTGTGTCCTTTAGTAAACTGGAGTGTAAAAGATCTCGCCGTTGAGGAATCTCCGCTTCAGTTCCTTCCACAGTAGGAGGCGCTCTTGCTGCGCACCCTGCATAATACCCCTGTTTTCCTGGGCCCGCCTGGACAGGTAGGGTATCACTTCATGCACTGGACCATACGGCACATACTTATACACTGGATAACCAGCCTGGCCTGTGGAGGAGTGAGCAAGGCAATGCACACATTAACACATCACTTCTCCAGTCGTCTTCCCACAGTCTACCAAACAAAGAACGAGGTCAGAGGATCTCTGAGGTTTATTCCACCTGCTGTTAAACAGGATTTGGACAGCAGCCTTAGTCTGCTTTAATTTCATGAACATTCTACAACAAGCCGACACACTGATTTTAGAGAGGTCCGGTTTCTTCTTTCATCGGCAAGGACATTTTTCTATATTTTAAAGCTCATAAAATTAGTGAAAAGTACATCTTTGAGACAAAGGCTCAAACAGACAAGTGCACAGTGTGTTTCTAAGGCCTTCTAGGATTACTGTCACTTGAACAGTTCATCCATTATTTGATCAAATACATGTTCACATCCATTAGCGCTATCCATCAGGATCGCCTTTCATGCAGAAAACAAACCCAGAGAGAGAGGTCACCTGGTTAAGTATAAATGGGACACATGGAATGTATTGTACGATCTCTAGCTCTTTTGACATGAGCTCTTCTGTCTTCCAGTCATAGGGATAACTGCTATGAATGTGTGAATATTTCACAGACAGATCGTGCATCACAATTAAAAGACACCCAATCTTCACCTATGCCTCCAGTTCCTGTGAGCTATTTAATACTCTCACAGTAGCCAAGTATCAAAAGAGAAGTGAAACAAGAAAGCCAGGTGTGAATAGCACAACCTAAATACTTATTTGAGCTCCTTACCAAGGGGAAAGCTGATTTGATCGCACATTCCCAGCAGCTGGCCAAAATAAACTTTGTTTTCTGATGGATGGATCCCCAGTTCATTCATCCTGTTGAAAAAGTCATCACAAATTACAAGAACGTCCTCTAAAGGATGACTTTGTCAGTGCAACAGAATACCAGAGAGCACAGAATTCAAATTGCTTTTATAGTCCACAAATTCTTTTAAACAAATAAATAGTTCTCTAAAACAGTTTTCAACTGAAATTAATCAGAAAAGGATTTCCGTATCTTCAAAAAAAAATCTGAGCAGTTGCATTTATAGCTGCTGCAGAAACTAAATGGAAAGAAAAGATTTAAGGCAGAATACAAAAAGGGTGAAACTAATTTGTCCCATGAATGCTATTAGATTGTTCCACAGTTTAGCCTACTGAGTGTAGTTTGTGCTTTCATAAAATTAAGGCCCAGGGAAAAGTTTACACAATCTTTTGTTCTTCTCACTGGAGTACTATGTCCTTTGAAAACTTCAACAACCAGTTGCATAATTTATCTTACTTTATTATAAGCTCCTGTTGCATAATTTATCTCACTTTATTATAAGTTCTTTTATATCAGCTTCCTAAGCACAATAACTTATTTTCAGCTCCATGTTGAGACTGTTCACTTTTGTTCTGTTTTCCAAGATGTGACAACCAAATAATAAATATGAACTTTTAAAAAGGCTCAGAAGCTTGCTTCAAATTTCAGAAACAGCATTGTCGCTTTGAGAATAAGGTATTGAACGTATTCCTTTTATTATCTGATTAACTCGGGTAGCATCAAAGCTAAAGAGTGTCTCACCTCTGCAGAGTGAACTTGACTGTCTTCTCGTTGTGAGAAGCCACCATTATATTGGCCTTCCTGTGGTGCTTAATCTCCTCCAAAACATAGTCAAGACACCTAATGAGAAAGGAGTTAAAGCATAATAAAGATTAACAAACAACCCAGTAACACAGCTCTGGCCAGTTTAATGTATATTGACTTTAACTCAGTTTTTACACAACTACAGTACCGCTGCAATTAGTTTTCTATCTGCAGCTGTAATATTAAGGCTTGCAACAAGATGATACTCAAACATGTGCTGGACATTTAACTTCATTTTCTCAAACCTCCACCACTGTTCTTCCTTGTTAATCCAGTACCTGTGATACATGTCATTAGTGGCTTCATATGTAGGGTTAATAGGGTCCTCGTAGCCAATCTCTGCTGCTCTGGTCCTCTCTTGCTGCATATAGGCCCCACGAACAAGCTTGGCACCAAAGTACCAGCCTTCCCGTCGTGAAAGCTCAACATCCAGTGAAACGTTATCATAGGCTTCCTGCACAGAACAGAGAAAGACTCTGCCTTATTTTAAGAGCTCCCATTACATTATTTGAAAATGATACTGGTGGTCACCAGTGTATCTTAGCATCTGTGTCAATTAGGAAATGTAACTTTAAACTCTGTTAACTTTAACAGATGTTTAACAACTATTTCATATCCAATAGTTTGACAGAGTCTGCAGCTGTGCTTTACACACAGCAGACACACTGACTTGCATATTATCAGGTTTAGTTAACATAGTATTCAACATATTTCATACTCGGTGTAAAAGCCTAGGTTAAAACATAAAGAATTTAGTATAATTTCCCACTGTGGAGATCTGCAGCTGCTTAATTTGGGAAAATGTAGCCCAGGCATGCTAAATAGAAACATACAAAGGCACCATGCTGTTTCCAATAAAAAATTAATCCTGACCGTAAAAGGATATGAACTGAACATATCTGGGGCAATGCTAGGCTGTGTAATAGGGATATTAAGCAATTTTATGGCTTATATTTCCTTCTCGTTCTCCAGGAGCTGAACACCTCACCTTGAGGTAGCACTGGTATGTGTTGAAGATTATGGGCTTCTCAGTGTTGAAAATCCGCTGCATTTCCAGAGTAAGTCTGCTGATTGCTGGCTGAAAGTAAGTCTGTTCTGCATCCACCATCAATCTCACTCCGTGTTTTATGGCATGCTGGGCCACAGGGATGAGAAGCACAGGATCACATCAGATACGTCAAACTAGCTGGTGAATTTTTATGCACTTCGGTGTCACAACACAGCTCCAGTATAAAATCTCCCTCTTAGTATGTCCCTGACAATCTTATTGAAGCATAAGAGCATACAACTTCCCTAACTCATCAAATATGTTGCAAACTCCAGTAAATGCAGCACAAAGAAATAGTCAGTTCAATGTTTGTTGGTGTACTTTCATTTCAGACCAGCATTAGTTGGCCACAGAAATGATTGCAAATAAAAGAGCAAAGAACACTGTAAAAATATATCAGTATGCCTACATAATGACTAATGTGTTAACTATCGTCTGTGTTAGTGAGAGGAAAACAAATCAAGTGCTTTAAGAGCTGGCTACAGAAAACAAGTCTTCAGTAACAAGCATTTTCAATGAGGATTCAGATCTAACCTGTTGCTTACTGACAGTCACTGTTGTTAATTAAGATACAAAATGTTCCTTTTTCCAGTAAGGAAGGATAACGGTTGCAGTAAGGCAGACCAGCTGGGTATTAGTCCCACACTGCTACTGGCAGTAGCCAGTCGATGTGCAGTTTGACCTCACCTTGGCCAGGACATCCATTCTCTGCAACATTCGTTTCATTTGCTTCTCTTCCTCCTCAGTGAATTTGTTTAGCAGGGGCTCAAGTTGCCCAGTCTAAAGTATAAGAAATGGTAAAAAGGATGTTGAAAAGTCCTTTTCCTATTCTACCAAATCTTCAGTATATAAATATATAATATACACAGTATATAGCTATATATTATTATACATAACCTCAAGGTTTGGGACAACAAGGAGCTTGGAGATCTTTGTCCTGTCATCAATCAAGTTGTTCCAGTCCAACAGATCTATGGTCCTGAAACATAAAAAGTCAGATCAGATTTTGGCTTAGGGCAGAACAGGCATTTTCACAGACTAACCCTTTTTTCTTTCCCTTCACATTTCACTTGAAATGAAGATTTCTGTTACTTTGTTCTGGTTGCATTTGAACATACAGTAATACCTGTCCTGGCCATGCATTTCTATAGTACTGTGTTCAGCTGCACAAAGGAAACAAGACCTGGAAAAGACCCAATGAGATACAGCCTAAGTGATTAGTTGTGTATCAAAATTAATAAAAAACATTGTCTAAGCATTTACCTATTGTTTTGGATTGTTCATGTATACCTGAAAAGCTCAGAAAGCAATGCATTAGTATTCTACTGTCAAGTGATATATGGTTTTAATTACTCCTTTACCCAGACAAACCCAAGTTCTCTCCAGTGAACCAGTTCTCCGTGTTTTCTTTGGAAACCACACCCAGCTTAGTCAACGTTTCCTGTGAAACACAAAAGCATCATGTCAGCTGTTTTTCAAACAAAGAGTGCAGGACAACTAACTGTACCTCTAACATTCAAACCTGCTGTTTCCACACTGGTACCCAGGAGGAGTGATGTGTAAATGCCCAAAGGACAGACTGAGCAATAAACAATGTATTGATTAATTTGATCTAATGAGTAATGTTATGTATCACTGCTTATGCCTTTTCTTCGTTCTAGAGCCAGTTATTAGTCTCATGCATTTCTTAGAGTTGCTCATGTTGTTAGTTGTCGAGAGACGAACATAAGATAGCCGTGAATGATGGAACGTGGTGGGCAAAACTGCCAGGCCTTGCAGATAAGGAGCCGATCTTAAACATAAACATATATAGGGCATGCTGGTACCAGGTTGCTATGGAAACTGAGAAAGTTCATAAGGAGGACACAAGATTATCAATCATGGAGTCCAGTGGTTGCCATGGGGATCTCCTTATTTGGCAGAGGATTCCTATGATGAAGATGAGGGGGACTAAGAATATTATGGGATGTAAAACAGGTGGGAAGTCACTGATTAATTGTAATAATGTTATTTTAGCAAATCAGGTCTAGGTAAGGTAATGTATGTGTGGAGGAATATTTAATTAAACATCCCCTTTTCAAAATGCATAAATACAGAGAAGTGTGCTTTGTTCTTTAAGGTTACAATTCTGTCTGCTTGTGGAATTCCCATTGTGCACACATTGAGAATTACAAGAAAAAAAAAGTTAGACAACCTGAACCTTACCCCTGTATGTATGCAATTAAACCCTACTGAGTAGACTAAGCACACACACAATGTGCTTCTTCCAAGCCTAGGTTTTTTATAAAAACGTTTGTCGAACCGAGATTTACCTTAGGCAAGAGTCCGAACTCATTTGATGTTCAAAGAATTAAATTTACATATCAGAACAAAACAATCATCAAAAACAAAAAGACAATGTTCCTTAGAAAAAAAAGATCATTCTAAAAACACATTACAGTATATGTGCTTGTTCATTTCAAATAAAAATAAATTTAACTACAAATATCACAAAAAACACAATCAAAAACTGTGCACAAAAACTGTACAATGCAGAAAATGTCAATTTAGGATCTGGTGGTCAAAGTGCATTGCACAGATACACTTGCATGGATATGCATTGCAATAAATGTACAACTTCACATAACATACATCAATACAGACTAATATATGTACAGTAGGTCTGGACCCATGTCTATTTTCAAGGTCAAAAAAACATTTTACAACATTTTCCTTTCACTAAATTCCAGCTTATGCTCAAGATCATTCAAGGTAAACTGCAAGTCCTAGAAATACATTCTCTACATTCCCTTGGAACTATCTTAACACCTTCACCATGTCTAATAGACTAAATGTTCATACTGACTTCAAACAAAGATAAGACCTGACCTCAATTAGGAACATGAATACTGCCAGAATTGTAATACCTGCAACTGCTCCAGCTCCAGTTTGACATCTAAAGCTGAAAGGCCAGCCTTTCCTTGCTCAGCAGCAAGAATATGGAAGAATCTCCTCCATTTTACCAACACCTCTGAGAACTGAAGCTGCAAAGAAGAAACCAAAGTGATAGGGTTCATTCTTGACACATGTTCATTGACTTTAAGATACTGCAGAAAGTGTGGACATTATGACATCCCTATGTCTTGCGGTTAAACATACATTTAACCACCTCAGGAAATCACCCACTATGAGAACATTCTCTGATATAACTCACCAGGAACTGTGGCCTTCCCAAAGCAGTCATCTTAATCGCAGAAAAACCGTCTTCTGAACTCCCTCCTGGTTGATTACAGTGGAAAATCCTTGATTAGCCAACAGAGAAAGTGCTAAACCAGCAGCAACTCAAAAGTAAAATTAAAATGCTCTTTTGAGTTCCACAAGTCAGATTGGCTTCAGCCAAAAACAAAATACCGAGAATACAACCAAATCTACTGAACTGCTTTCATCTTCCCTGACTAACAACACTGCCTTCCAGGTTCTGCCTTACCTGAGGCCCCGATACACTTCAAAAAAGTCTCCATGTGCTGGTCACACTTGACCTCATCAGCATAGAAGTAGGTGCGGGCACTGATCACTCCTCCACGGCGGTCTCCAAACTGCCGATGAGCTTTATACTTCTTCTCTCGGTGGTCCACTCCTGAATTCAAAGCAGTCAACCATCAATTCTCTGGACAAAATTTATCATCGCCACAAATAAAAAAAAAAACATGTGGATCAGTTAACTGATCCTCTTAGGAAGAGGGAGATAGCATGGAACTCCACTTAACCTAGAATATACTTTAGTACTGTATGGAGTTGAGTTTGCAATGCACTACACTGTGGTTGTTAAAAGGAGAAACTTGGTTGTAACTAGGGTTGGAACATGTTCTGAAAATCAACAAGCTTTGAAGAAGGCATCTGCTCTATAGATTCTATAATCATTATTATATACAATTCTATAGAAAAATAAAACAGTATTACAGTTGTTCTCCTGGTTTCAGTCAACTTAAATTCAAGGAAAACAGAACACATGTTCCTAAGCATTACAAGTCATCTTACATACCACGGCTTTCTTTTTCAGCTTCAGACAAACACGAACTAAAAAGAAAATACAAAATAAAGATAGGAATTACTGAAAAAGTTAGTGGCAAAATATTGTGATTAGGCAGAAACACATCTTATGTATCTTTTAATTAAAGGCAGCACTCTTAAGGAAGTACCTTTTGTTTAACAAAAGCATGGGTTTGGCTAACGTGAACCAGATGTCTACCACAGTATAATGCTTTTGGTACTTGACAAAACAGAGGCATTAAATTGCCATTTATTTAGAAATAAATAACATTCTCAGTAAACTAGTTCACTATCAAGAAATGTTCAAACATGGTGGAACCCATGTGAAGGAGAAGCCTCCTAACCGACCTCTTCAAATACACATGCTATGTTCACTGCTATATTGCAATAGTTTGTTTGTATTTCACTGGCTGCAAGCCGTATTCTACAAATACTATCCACTTTTTGATTCTAAGGCCCAGACATTATCCCAGCCGTGTTGTTAACAGTTCAGAGGGAAAAAATTGCTTTTAAGAATGTCACTGTCAAGCATTTCTGAATTCATGGGTAAATATTGCCTCATGTCAGTTTTTGATTTTAAAAGCCTAGTTACGTCTAGACCTTGTCAATTTGGAAGCAACAATCTGTTTGCCTTGAGATGAGGCCATGACACCAGGTGCTCTACGCTTGATTGATATTAGCTGACAGCCTGCCTGCCACTTAGTACCGTGCTAAATTCAGAATTCGGAGGAGAACCAGAGCAGGCTGGAGCTGTCTGGCAACCAGCCTCTTCGTTTTTTCCGAGGTTTTGCAGAGCAATCCCATTAAAGGCAGACGCTTAAAAGCCTTGTAGCATTCACACTCCAGCAAACACACGGTCACTCACAGCCTCCTGGTGATAAATTTTAAAAAGAAAATGTTTCAGCTTTAAAGTGGAGCTCTTGTAAATCAGAAAATACACTCCTGATGAGGCACATTAAAGACAAGAACAAACATTTCATAGTAAATGAATTACCTTATTCAACTGCATTTCTTTTGAACTCTTTCATGTAAATATTTTAAATATTTTAAAGATGCCTGAAAGGTAGATAAACACTGCCTAAAAAATATCCTTTATTTCCCTTTATAATCTTGTTTTACATTAAATTCTTAACTTAAATATTAATTGTTCAAAATTGAAACTGTTTCTTTTCTGCTCTCAGCCAAGTAATGTTTGCATTTCCCTAGATTAGCACATTCAGACAGTGTACTCTGTCTGTTGTGACCTGGTCATCCATGAACTCCAGAAATATAGATAAGAAACTTTCGGACCTCAGATGTTCTCTTTCTCAATCCCTAGTTCTTATGAACCCTCACACCAGAAGATGGATTATAGTTCTAAACATCATACACAGCCCCAGCTAAATCCTATCTGTCAGTTTGTCAGGTCTTTGTTGCCACATTCCAGCTAAGATCCATAATTAGCAGATTTTCCCTCGTTACATGGGATTATTACTAATGTTAGTGTTAACATCTTATAATCATGCATACATAATCATATGTCAAAAACAAAGGCAGGGTTGTTGTTGTTTTTTTCCTTTGTTCCAAATGTTATTTTTCGATGTAGCCAACTAGGATCGTCCAAACAACATTTTGCAACTTAATGTTTTTGTTGGAGTTTGAGTTACAGTTCAGCCCTTCAGTCAAGCCCTGCTCTAAGTTATTGACATTCAATTCAAACATTATAATTCTTTGAATCCTACTGTTCTAATAGTCCATGTTGGTGGCCTAAAACAGACAACCAGGTCCCTAGAAGACACTTCAGTTTCACAAAACTGTTGTTGTTAGATATCTTTAATTTGATTAAATTGCTTATGAATCAAGTCTAGCAATTATCCAGACTAACTGGTCTTTGGAGCAATATAGCATTTGAAAACTGATTTGTATAGGTTGGCATTGTTGGCAGTGAGAGAATACTGTTGTTGCTTCCTTGAGTGACATCTCCTTCAAAATGCATCGCCAGGGGGTGGAAATTGAACACAGATAATAAGTCAACAATAACACGCATCAATCTTTGTCTGCACAGATTCAACAATTAGCTTTAGGAGTGCATGAAGTAACACTGGTATCTTAGGAGTGGGTTGATTGCATGATTTTCCTCTGCGTCTAATAAAATCACTCACACCATCAAGAATTGAACTTTCCTAGTACTTTGCGTTTAGACTTCATATTTATACTGAGGAATGGCATGGTGGTGCAGTGGTTAATACTGCTGTCTGAACAGAGCTGGAGCTCTGGGTTCAGTTCCTGGGGTGCTGTCTGTGTGGAGTTTGTATGTTCTCCCCATCTTTTTGTGGGTTTTCACTGGGTGCTCCGGTTTCCTCCTCTGATTATTGTTTATTTGTATAAAACCACCATGTTTTAGATTTCCCTTTCTAACTGCAATGCCCAGTGAAGAATAATGTTTCTTAACTTTCAGCATAACAAGTTAGTTTACAATCTCTGTAAAAGGCTGTATTTGCAATTGCAATGCCTATTGATATTAGAGGCATCAAAATGAGTGCTTTTCAACAGATTATTACATTTCATCCTTGCAAGCTATCAGCAAGTAAACAGATGCCAGGAAGTGCTTATGCCTGAGCTTTAACAGTATGAATGACCCCATGAAAATGTCTCAGAATAGCTATTGCTATTAAACTCTGCAGATTAAACTGTTTGAGTCAGTGCTGTTGGTGTCAAAAGAAATTGCAAAGCAACTTCATGTAATGAAAATAAACCAGTTACTAAAACAAATACAAACTAGATAATCTGGTGCCTTTATAATGTCATTAGGCTCTAAAATACATTACATAAAAGGACTGGCACTGTTAAATCCGCTTAAACATTTCATAACATTAAAGGTATACGGCAGAAATGTTTTAAACACTTTATTTTGCTGTTATAACTTAGAAAAAAATATTTAATTTTATGTTTAATCTTAGGGTTAGGCCTATACATATCTTTAATTTGGATTAAACCCTCATTGTTAAAAATAACCTGAAATTGGTTCTACAAACTCTTAAGCAAAAAAACTCTTAAGGGTTCTGAATTTCTTGCCAGAAGAAACATGCTCAGGGTAATTTATGCCTATATTATATTTTGTTTGTCCCTTCATGGAAAAATACTATATAAAGAGAAAAAAACTAAGAAAATTCGATAAGAATAACATTTACATAATTCTAACTGGAGAGCAAATATGGGCTTAGTCAACACCCTGCAGAAAACATGCGACCTTTCTCTTTCTCCTAGAGAACAGATGAAATAAATAAACCTTTAAATAAAACTTCCACTTTATCCTAGAAGTTCTAACACATTCCCACTGTTCCCTATTGCTCAGGTCTTTATTAAGTTACTTCTTCAAAGTGTTTGTGGTTGCAGATCCAGTAATTGTACTACATATTTCCAAAAAGCATTGCATAACATTCCTTAGCTGCTCATGACTGATTATTCAGGCTCTCTCCCTTGGGCTACATGTGACTTTCCACAGCAAAGCAGCTAGGCTCAACATCAGATACCTTCACTCACAGCCAATCATAAAAAGAGGGCTTGGCAAATCTGACCAATAGGCACAGGGGCAGTTACTAGACCGCATGTTCTATCTAGCAGCAAAACAAATGATGCTTGCTTTCTCCCTCCTGCAATACATATAATGATATGGAGTGTGTGATATAATGGAATACTTTAAGCATCCATTCTAAACTAAAATCAGGTGTTGTTTTTAAATTGTTGGCCATCAAAACTATTAACTGTTGATGGGAAAAATAACACTTTATTTCTCTGAGAGTACATTATTTGACAGTATAATGCATATGAGTAATAGAGTTCTTAGTGAGGCATATAAGAGCTTGTTACTGATTCAAGGAAATGTAAAAATGTGAATTATACACTGGTTGTTAAAAAGCATTGCACGGTAAACAGCAGAATTCGTTTACTCACGCAAAAATAAACAGCAGACACTCTAAAAATAGTACCACAGAAACGCCAGTCACTCATTCATCCCCAAAGTCAACCACAGGCACACAGCACAGATCTAATATCAGAGAACATGCCTGGGATAGTGAAAGTAGTGAACGTCATGCAACATGCTACAAATAGGGTTGGATCTTTCAACAAATGATAGCATGAAACTGTAGCTGCCAGTACCAGCCAATAAAAACACTCTTGTACAACTCTGAAAGGTCAGGTTTGCATTCAGTGCTTCTGAATAACCAAAAAAGCATCACTGGCTTGCTCAGTTCTCTTTAAAGCCTTCTGATGACATGCAAGATTATCTTACATGACACTCTACTATCATATGATGTTGCTAGCAAAGACTCACAACTAATGTAAACCGTGACCTGTGAAACCCTGCATTAAAAAGTATATTCTGCCTTACTCCATTTCCTTTTTCTCAGCTTCCTCCTGTGTGAGGTCTTCCTCCACGCTGTAATCCAGAACAGATCCCACTCCAAATGCCCGATTCCTCCTGATGAGCGGCTTAATGCTCTCCTGATCTTCTCCGGCCACAAACTGCCCATAAAAGGTCATCTTCATCAGCTTCTCGAAGAGAGTCTTCCCCAGTAACTTCCTGCTCAGACTGGTAAGCTTCAAGAGAGCAGACACATTTCCTATAGCTGCAGTGTGAATCAAAAGCAAACTCAAAACTGTCCTGTGGTGACCCCATAATACATACATTAATAAATCCTGGAAGATGGGCTGCATATTTGAGTGCATCTGCATCTTTTTTTCTCATTTAATTTGCTGTATTACTACATAAGGGAGTTTTATGATAAGAGAACACATTTCTGTTATGCAAATCAGCACTATGGTGCAGCACATAAACATATACTACAAATCTTGTGCAGTTACTGTCCATTTTTTAAAATGTGTGGGACAGCAAGCTCATGACAGACAAAATTTGCATTTAAAAACGTAATTTACTCAAATCTCCATAGTGAAGTTTATACACATAAATGAACTTATGTGCAAGACCAATAACAGTTATGTAGTCCAGGTAGTGCATTAACATTCACTGTGCCAATTATTTTCCACTGAAAAGCCTTTGGACATCATTGAGTGAGTCTCTAAACAAAGAAAGGAAAAGCACTTGGGAGTAGCACCTGTGAAGTTCAAGACTATTGTCACAGTTATAGCTTTCAACAAGGCCGAAAAGCATTAGGCTGGTAGAGATAAGAAACTCATTTTGCAAGAGAACAGTGTACATTGTACAAATATGAATACTACCTGGCTTACATAGCCTCTAAAAACACAACGCGGAGCTTTGTAAAGCATTCAGAACTTGTTTCTGCAATGAAATGGCCAGGAGCAAGAAATTAAAACTGGGTTAACTACATTTTTCTTCCATATTTCCAATGCTGAAAAAGCTTCAACAATTGTTGAAAAACTAAACTCACTGCACTTGGCCCAGGATAAAGACCCTTATTGTGCTGTGTATAACATGTAAGCTACTGCAGAACACAATGTGCATTGCACAGGACTATATGTTTCTTCAGTAGGTCGCAAACTAACTCAGTCTTGATAGGTAATGAAGCAATATTAACTTGTAACTGGTGTATTGTAAAGGGAAAGTCAGTTTACACCCAGCAAATTTAATGACATGGGGAAAGGCGGCGATATCTTATGCTTAGGCTTTATGTGCTGCTAATTAATATAAGGCTCGTTATAATGGTTTGTTCAGAAAAACGTTTGTTCAGAAAAACAGTATAAGGCGTGTGAACGGTCTCTGCTCTGCAGAACCACAAACTCCAATAAACTCGATTCTGGGCGCCCGCCAAGCAAGGAAGGAAAATGATTGCGTTTCATAATGCACGAGAAATACAGCACAATCCTTCGGTCATAATCGTGGATTAAAATAACTGCACATAAACCGAATCCACATCCCCTATAAATATGCGGCGTTTTTAGAAACGTATATCTCAGATTTTACTTTTCTCAATTATTATTAATGTTAGATGAATGCAATTTGGTATATGTTCATACCGCCCCAGCTGGAAAGAAGCAACCTTCACTAATAAAATATTAAAACTTATACAATTTGATAACAGCAGCACCACATGGCGTCAATAAAATATAATTAGCTACTATTATGTCGGGCGAAAGCTGCGCCTCTTTTTGAAAAATCTCGCAATGTTAAGAGAAATTAAGATATTTCCGAAAGTAACAAAGTCTAAATTAGAAAAAGAGGAGTCTCCGTTTATATATTTCTTGTCATGAATAAAAGTTCGGCAATATTTATTCAAACTGACACCTGCCTATTCTGAAAGTTAAACTTCTGATACGCACCTCCTTGTTCCTGTCAACAACGACGTCATAGGTGCACACTTTAAAAACTAGCAAACTCCTGAGCAGCTCCAGGCTATCCTTGCTTTTGTAAGCTTCCTTGGTATTTTCGAAGTCGATCACTGTCTCGGGATGGGGCTCCGGCCGGGCATCTTCGGTCTGAAGGATGTGGTCGACCTGCGCTGCCTTCCGCTTGATCACGCCCCGGGTCGGGTCTGCGCCGTTGTCGCCGTCGGGTTTCGGTTCGCTTTGCGGAGCTGCGACCGTGGACCGACTCCTAAGGGAGGACGAAACCGAAGCTGCCCTGCTCAGGGAGATGCTGGAAACTGCCTTGGAAAAGGCCGGAATAAGGTTTGCATAAGACATTGGACCTTTCAGCGGTGTGGGGTAAGGAAAATGCCCTGGCATCTACTGCAGTAGCAACTGTGGACTGATGCTCAGCGCAGGGGATTACCTAACAGCACGCTAAACCGGTACCATTGAATGCACAAAATAAAAGAAACGCCCATTCTGATTTCAACTAGGAGGCACTGCATAACTGACTCCCCTGATTGGTTTAAACTGTTGTAACGCTCCCCACCCGCGACGTGTTATTGACGCAAAGAATGAATGTGAGAACTGGCCCCTGCGCGGAACTGCTGCGCTGCTCGGTGCGTCTGTGAAAGACGAGAGAGGTCGTCGGTTCGGTGTGTTCTAGTTTGGAAACAAAAAACATTATGTAACAACCTTACCAGAATAAATCTGGGCAAAATAATCTACAGCCCTGCGTTTGGAGAGCCTGTTGTCCAAGAGCTCCTAACAGGTAGCTATTAAGCTGATCCATAGATAAGAAAGAATTTTACTCGATCAGTTGAGCAACTGTTATTTAAATTAAACAGCCTGGAAACCTCGAGTAACAAAAATTAATTTCCACACGTCATGGCAGCTGTATACTTCTTAATAAGGTTCTGTTGTCCGTGTTCCTTGTTAGGAAAATGTATACAGTACAGTGTCCATTTCAGTAGTTACCGTACTGTATGTCATGGTAATGAAATCTGACCAGGATGAAACGGCTGTCTGTGGTTGTTTTCACTTCATATACTCAAAAGGGGAAATTCGAAGCGCTAAAATAATTGTCTCAAAAGTATTGTCGTGCAAGTGTTGTTATAAAATTAATTTCCACAAACTATACATGCCTATGCTTTTGATCTATTTTAATTATATTAGAAATTAATTTTAATTCAATTTGTAACAGAATTTCAAATGGTAAACTTCACTCCACTGTCACTGAATCTGCAACTTAATTATTGGCCAGTGCTACAAAACCGATGGTACTATTTACCAATCAAACCAAACACAAAAAATCAGTAATCACTAAAAATAACTTGCTTCGAGTCTTTCAAGAGCATTCTTTTGAGGTTACAAGGCTAAATACAGTACCAAAACCCCTAAACCTAACAGTTAACAGATACTGTAAAAATCCCAAAATGTACCCCAAAACCTAACACTCTAGTAAGAATAACCTTCAGTAACCCCCAGATATTCAGCCCTGTTTCTGGAGGTCTACTCTGGACTCTCAATGACTTAATTTCAATTCAGTTGTTCACATAATTGATCTATATTCTCATGTTTCCTGGTCTTAACACATTGAGTATTAACAATTACCTATAATACTTCCCTCCAGCACCTTGAATGAGTGAATGGCACTGCCATTGACAGTTAATTTCATTTATCATAATTAAAATCCCCGTATCAGATCGCAAACACTGGGATTTGTGGGAGTCGCCTGTATTTGCACTGTTATGTAAGAATCAACTTCCATCTAGAGCAACAACAGCACACTTTGTTCATGGAGCACAATAAGCTGGAGCAACTTAAACTTGGCTGGGGTTTCTAGAGCCTACTTGCATTCATTTCTTTAAGCATTCAGTTAAGTAATTGAATTTAATTAGACCTATTTTATTTACAAGAATGACTCCTAAATGCTTTATGTTTAATGCTTTAATGTTGCATATATCAAATTGCATGATGTATTTTGCAGAACTGTTTAAAAGTTTAAATCGATTAAAAATGTCCAATGGGGAAAATTAATTAGTTAAAAAAATTAAAGTTCAGTTAAGAAATCAAGACTTGAACAAATGAACACCAATAGATACAGATGTTCCCAGAGGCCCCCTGCACTAAAAACTGCTTTTGGTGTTTATTTCATCTCGGATTTTATGGCTTAATTTAAACAATTAAAGTGGGCAAGAAATTCAGGTGTTAAAAGAAAGTGTTCCTAAGACCTTCAGGATCTATCCGGGTTATTCAGGACAAAGGCTGCCTATCCCTGTCTAGAGTATTTCCAGAGCAGAGAAACCCGATAATCATTATGCAGCTACATTGCACATTAGTTTAGATATTCTTCACAAGCCTGGTCATGAATGGAACACCTTACTCTAGGGCCAACATCTTCAAACATCTCACCACTTCTTGGGAGCTCCAGTCTAACAGGTTTTTTGCTGTAGGTCACCATTAAATCTTCTGTCTCTAAAGACTCGGAACAACTGAACTATGATCAATTGGATGTAAGTTGGTAAAATAATTTGGAAATTATAAGGAAAAGAAATTATCAACCCTCAAGTTCCATTAATTTAGTACATTAATTGATGAAGTATGTGGGTATGTGATTCTAGTCCTCACAGACTGGATTCCTGCTAGTTATAGATGTTCATGTAATTAGCAAACAATTAACACCTAAAGGCAGGCACTTTAGCTTCTTATGTACATACTGTAGGTTTTTTGCTTAAACTATTTATTATAACTTTGGGATGAAACCCTGCAGCATTACTGTAAATCTCAGAAGCACTGCAATTGCATACAGTACCACTGCCTTGATACTAGAACGGAGTTCAGCAGCCCTGTTCCAAGAGACCGTCATTTCAGGGGGTGTTTTAGGCAACCTTTACATTACATCATTATATTCTAAACAAATGGAACAATTTAATGGTGATTAATTACAGGGCAATTTGAGGTAATTTTCATTACTTGAAACCAAAATCTCAACACCCTTCAAGCCTCAAGGATCAGATGCCCCTGTAATAAACAAGGTATTTGATTACTTAATCAATAACTTACAAGTAATCACATTATTTAGAAATAAGTGATTTTGTGTGACCTACAGCAATGGTTTTCAACCCCTGATTCCAATTTAGAAATTGACAGTAAATAGACCTTCACTTGTCTTGGGTACAAATAAGGTGATAAATTCTATCAATTTCAATCATTACAGGTGATGAATGTCATCATTGGTGCTTCTGTATTGGAGGCAGTAAGGTATTAACTGCATCCCTGTCTCAGTAAAAGAAAAAAACACATGTTCGACTCCTCTCATTTTAAGCGCCGTAGACCATGAAAGAGGTCTTAAAGATAAGATTATCTAAATAGCTTCGGTCTTGAACTGTTTTTACAATTAAGTACCGTGGTTATGGGGGTATTAATTATACTGTCCTATCCACGGAGTCGAAGCTTGAACTAATTCAGATCATTTTAAGACAGTATTAAAACACCTAAATACCTATTAACATTTTAATCAGGGGGACGATAAACATGCAATCTTTATAGCCTTTAGAGTTCTGTATGACTGTGCTTCACCAGGGGGAGACCTTGTTACACTTGGGCGACTTTCCGGTGGCTCTGCAGGCACGGGCTACGACTCAGATGCTCAGCGCGAAGTCAACATTATTCACATTAACCCTTTGTCGTGTTTTTCATAGTGGCGCACGGAACACTCCCTTAGAAAGGCATTGAATCTAGTTTATCATTGTGTCTCGAATCGGCTTACCGAGAAATTGTTAAAAAGCAATATTCACAATAAAATATTTTATTCTATTGTGAAGTGTAATTCCAAAGGCTGGAAAACTTATAGGCAGCAGCTGGAGTGTCTATGTGTACTGTATATATAAGAGAGAGAATTTGTTTGCACTAAATTAATCTGAATAAATCTGTGGTTATATTTACAGGGAAAAAGCCGCATTGCGTATTTCCGAAATTTCGAAAAATCAAATGTTAAATTCACCCTTATGTGAAGAGTCACACTTCCCTCTTCTCGGGGATCTCAGGGAGTATTTATATATTGAAAAGCCTGTTTAACTTGCATTAAGGTTTACTTTATATTAAAGACATTATCCATCATCCAGGAGGGGCTGCACATTGGTGGTGGTGGAGGGGATCCCATTAACGTGTAAAGCACTTTCAGTGGAATGCCCAGAAAAGCGCTATTTAAGTGTAAGCAATTATTATTATTATTATATTTACGACTAGAATTACAGCTATATCAAATATTAAATAATAGAGTACAGAAAATGAACATGAAATCAGTAGAAACTGGAGTGTATTATTTTTCCGCAGTAGATTAATTCTGCAATGTGCCAGATAGTGCAGAATTTTGCCCTTATAGTTGCACTGCAAACGGAAAACAAGTGAACTGGAGTCCGACGAAAGGCAGACTGTCTTCACTTCCCCAAGTCTGTACCAAGCAATAGGCCGAGCAAATCAGGCATTTCCCTCTGCCACTCCTGAAAGAGCAAGCAGAAGCAACGACAAAAAAAAAAAATCTACCATAGAGCCTGACTTCCAAACTCCCATTTCCGCCCAGGGAACGGCAGATGTGGGACGCTCGCACACACACTTGGAGGCGATAGCAACTTTCCCCCCAGTTCACTTCTGCTTCCTCCAGGTTCTCTCTCTTTAAAACAGTCTGCTGCAAAAGGAATGCCGATTTCCACCCATTTGACGGGTCACAACAACAAGCAGATGTGCAGCCTGACAACGCTTTCAGAAGTTTGCGGTGCAATGTTAAAAGTTGATCTTTCGTTTGATGATGCTGTAATTGGCTTTTAAAAGTTTAAGGATAAAGTGGTCTTTCCTTTAATGCAGGGCGGAAAACCCACAGCCAGCGACAGAGGAGATTGTCAAGTTTGTGCAACTTGGGGTCTTGTAACGCTTTTTCCCCCCGTCGCTGCTTTTTCTTGGAGTTGGAGCGGCGTCGCTACTTTTCTCTCCATCGCAGAGATACGTGGATAGTGTCTGCTTGTTTTTCTTCCACGGAACTCTGGATTATTCGTGCCCTCCTTTGGATAACACGTCTTGTTCGCTTTCTAAAACCAAGGGGAACAGAAGATACTGAAAAAAAGCTATACATTAAGAAGTTTTATTTAAAACTTCTGATTTCTTGAAAGGGAGGAATGACCGATAAAAGGAGCGTTTGGAAGGATGCCGTCTCTTGGAAAATGGAAATGAAGACAAACTTCATAGTTCTTGTGGTTTTAAGCTTATTCTTTTGCTTGAGTTTCAGTCAAGAGCTAAACCCAAAAGGCAGGAATGTGTGTAAAGTACCTGGGTGAGTAGCTGAACACATGGCGTCTTATACTGTTTGTACGGGATAACGGTTCCTGAGGGGGATACAGAACAAAATGAATCTGTACAAATAAACCATTTGTGTCATTTTGTCCACGCGCAAATAAGGCAACCTAATTTATGCTGCGAAATGGTGTATTTCTAAAGATTATTAATTTTAAAGTGGTAGGTGCAAGAAGTTCTAGGGCTGAAAGCAGATATTCTCGAATTATTTTGACAGTTGTGGCGCATGAAAGAGTACTTTCCTGCTGCTGGCGTTAGTATCATTGATGATAGGCAATAGACATCCATGTGTCACCTATGCTGAACTTGATGGATTCCAGTCATCCAGATGCGCGCTCACAACTGGCAAAGCCTCTTGCTGTCATTTTAGCAACTTCCACGCGGGGGCGCCTTTCATGTACTGTACAGCAAGTCCCACAATGTTTGCGAAAAAAAAAAGAATAAAAATAACACTGCTGGCGCCATTCTGACCGCAGTCATCGTCCAAAACTAAGCTTGCCATCAATAATGTATGTATCCATATATTCTATCTAGATACTTCTTATATAAACTCTATTCGCTATACATCTGGAATGGGAATATTGATGGATAATAGGCATGTAAACTTCAGCTATCCCAGTCATAGCTGTTTAAAGTATTATTAGTATACAGAATTGAAAGTAGGAGTTACAATATTAACAGAGTGCAGGAGTTACAGAGTTCAGTGGGCCTAAAATCTAAGTGCATCTAAATCAATCTATTTTTCAGTTCTGCTTCTTTATTTCCCAGATGAGCACTGGACATTTAATAATTGTGACGTTGTTTACAAAACAAACCCTGAATGATTCCACATTTGTGTGAAATAACTGGCCATCCTCCTCTTTTTATATGAATAATTGTTCCATTACACCATACAGAGAGAAATTATGTATGTCAAGCTCAGATCTTGCTTTATTTTTCTTTTGCATTCAATGGGATTCCAAGGTTACTAGTATCTATGTTACTTCCATATTTTCCAGGTACTACTGTACACATATGCTTGTGCAACATTTATTTTATAACTGTACACTACCCAGACAAAAGAATGTAAAAAGCTGTGAAATGTATTAACATTAAATGATGTGCGTCTGTGATGGAAATGTCTGAAGAACTGACCTTGATCCCGTATTTACAGAGTCACTTGTAGTTTTAGCAGGAGTTTGCTATATGTATATGAAGTATATTCAGTATATTCAAGTATATTCAACACGATGATGTACCGCTATTATGAAGTAGTTTAATTGTACTATATATGTACTAAACATAATGCTTTTGTATTACATCTCCAATGCAAAGTCATATACTGTAAGTCCCATTAGATGTGAATACACAAAATGTTTGTTTTTCTCACAGATAGCTCAAACAAAATGGATTTGCCAAGTAAGTTCAGTGGGTTCACAAAACTAATTTGCCAAAGAGAATGTTGTGCCAAAGAGTTACCACATTTATTTTAAGTCTTTACATCAATTGCTTTGCATGGTGAATCAAAGCTGGTTATTATTAAACCCGTAATGTACGTGTGTTGATTATAAACTAGCTTCACTTCACTTTAATATTTTACCATGAGTACAATAGTTGGTATCATCTAATGCAGAAACAGTGCTTTTCATCAATGTCATTTAGATGTCAGTACACCAGTTCCAAGATGGTGTCGATGCTTTTGTTTTTTCCCATGCATAAGCACTCTTAAGTATTAAAAAGGCAATGCATGGTGGTTAAGATGGAGGTACTGGCACAGCAGAATAAACTAGATAGCTATGAAAGAGAAGCTGTAAACCAGCTTGAACTCTTGCTTGGACTGGCACATTCAACAGCACCAGTCTAGACCTCATATGGCACTCTTTTAATGGAGTGCCCACATCAAAGGAAACTTCTTAGGTGTTTTTCCACTTAGCTTTCAACTGCGTAAGAGTAAGTGACAATGAATGTGTTGGGGGGTGGGACTCTGTGATTTGTCCCTCTTAGATATGCGAGGTAATAACATTGATAGGCACCTACAGGGAATTAAAATGACTTCTAGATTATTTTCCAATTCTCAGGTGAGATTTTGACCAATCATTGTTAAAATGATAGCTTTTTATAGCAATCAACTGCACACGTTTACACAATAGAAAACATCTGCTCTTGTGCAGCTTACAGCAAATAAAAATGTCGACAGATGAGGCGTACAATGCGTTTGCCTAAATTTAGAATCAACGAACAATAATACTGTGGAATGTTTTGTGTGATTATAGTAAAGCATGTATAAACACTGATAATGACATGAAATATTTAATAGAGCTAGCATACAGCAGGGAAGAATAACACTTTGTTAACATACGTAACTAGCCGTAAATATCTAACTGTGCTAAAATTCCTCATGCTATACAGAGGTTATTGATGGTGACAATAATGAGTACAATGATCAGAATTGTGGTCAGTACTGTAGCTAAGCCTGCTAGGTGTGTCCTCCATCTACTGTTTGAAGACACAGTGAAGTGTTTTGACCTACAGTAACCCCAGAGGCATGAGTCCTGCCAGTAGTGCTGGCAGACACAGCCTCTTTAATGGAAGCCATAGACTGTTCTCAGCACCCTACACCCATGCACTGAATAATACTAATAAAAGACTCAACTACAGCACATGTGTGACTTAAGTCAAACATATCAACACTCTATAAAAATGTTTTTGGCATGCTCCGTTCTTTAATTTTAAGCAAAAGTGTGTTTTTTCAGTCTACAATTATTTTAAATCCCGTACAGTGCAAATTACTTCCATGACATTATACTGTACATACAGTGTTTTGCTATTAATTTGCCGAACTTTAACTGTGTTTTAAATTATTATGCAGACTATGCCCACAAATGGTACTGTCAATTTAATTTGTTCAGTTTTATGAAATATTCATCACAGGAAAGGACAGATGGTGTGCAGAGTTGTCACAGTTCTGGTTCGATTTGTATTGCAAGATATGATCGCTGTACTGACAGCATTATAAACATAATGACAATCATACTGTTTGAATGTAAGAACATAGAAATCAAGATCACAAACGTGGAGCAGATTCAATCTATTTGAATATTAATAATTTAATGATTAGATCTTGTTATGAAGCAGATTGTCAATTTTAAAATCCTTAAAATATTATGTGTATACAATGTTTTTAATGTGTGAAGTCCTAAGACGATGAACAGTTACAGATGTTACTGCATACTCTCTTTTACTTTAATCTGAATTCCACAAACAACCTCAACAGACTGATATATAACAGAATGTCTTTTCATTCACCATGTTTAGATTAACTCAGTTATAAATAAAAGCTTCTACCAGGGGGTCCCATAAACTATACATTAAACTGGCAAAGAATGAGGACTGCCAAAATGATCTGTGGCAACATCTGAGAATTGTATTCTTAGCGTTTCATTGGCATACATACAGTACAATGTTAATGTAGATTATATACTGTATAAAATACATTTTTAATTTTTAAAAAAGTAAGTAACAGGAAGCTTATATAGGTTTTTCCGAATATTGGAATGTTTTTCTGCAACTGTTCTAGGGATAACGTAAATTGACAGATGACTGTATGCTTGCTGAAAGATTTATTTATCGCTGTCAGTGGACTTTGTTTTGGATTTTGCATGTTGCCATAATGACAAATCTAATCTTTGACTTTATTTTTATATTGACCATACTCATAAAATATTTTGTAAATAACATATTCATAGCAATATGTGAGTGTTGTCACAGAAAAAGCAAAATATTAATTGTAAGGTCCTAAATTAGTAGGGCACGGTGTCTAAAATTACTGTAGACGTTACTCTATCCTGAAGTTGTCTCAAAGATACTAAAAAACTTTATACTGTAAATTGTATTATTAGAGGAAATGCCTCAGAATAATGTGCAAGCAATCCTGATCCCTTTTGCAAAATGTGTTTTGTTCTTGTTGTAATAATAAATATTTATTATTCTAAATAGCAATATAAATAACAATGAGTGCTGTTATTCAGAAACTATTATTCAAACAAAGAGCAGACCAGGTGGATGTAATTCACTTTTCTTACATTGTGTCTGAAACACAGTGGAGTCTGTTCTTCTTAATGCCTTGATATTATATAGGTGAAAAGCAAATCTTGTAGTGTCATTTATTTTACTTCCCAAAATACTTTACTTTTTGTGCAACTATTAGGAGAATTGTTTTTTTGTCTGAGTCAAAACTCCTACAACATTGCTGTGGTTTTACATTTTCTTGCAGAAGCAGAGGTTATAAGACAAATTAAATAGGTTTAACACGTAGGAAGAAAAATGCAGTATGTGGGAGTTCCATCTTCTGGGAATGTATGCCCGGAGCATGCCTGCTTATTAAGATTGTAGCAATTATTGAAAACTAAGCTACACTCCTCAGTAAGTGGGTTATGAGGTTTAAAGATATAACCACAAAAAATGGAATAGCATTGAAATCACAGACTATTGTTAACTGTATTGTTGTATTTACAAACCACATATACATAATTTTGGAGGCAGTATAGCGTAGTGAGCAATTCTTTGGACTCGTAGTTAGCAAGTTGTGGGTTCAAGGTTCCTCGGCAGATACTGTTGTTGTACCTTGAGTGAGGTGCTTTACCCCAGTTGTTCCCCTCCACCCAGCTGTATATATGGGAACCAGCAGGACACGCCCTGTAATAGACTGTTGTGTTATTCATGTTGCCTGTAGAAATGCTTTCTATACTGAACATCAAAAGAAATGTATTACTTTTAACTGCAACAAATTAACAAAAATTATTATTAGGAAATTGACCACAGTATTTTGTTAACTGGTACCCTGACTCTTTATTGAGCAGATGTTACCTATTTAATTCATTATCAATGAATGAATGAATTCATTATTCATCTGTGATTTCATGCTTCGCACCAGGTTGCTGAGGCTGTCTTGGTTGCCAGGAATTCTGTTCAATTCCTGTTGTAGAGCCTCCACGAGCCCATTCCTTGATGAACCCTTGATGCCACATGTCATCCCAACTCATCCCACAAATGTTCAAAGGGGATCAAGTGTGGTGAGAACAGCATTGATGGCCTATCAGGCACATTCTTATCTTTCAAAGAAGATGCTGTTTCACAAGCAACATGCCTTGTGCTGCCGGAATGTTGTTATGTCAGAAAGTGTGGTACCTGGACTTGATCAGTGTTGCTCTGTGCAGTTAAATTGCCATCAATCATTCTGGGTAGAGTTCTGTTGTGACCAGATGCTCCATCACTCTTGTTGAGACCTTCACACATGGACCTCCACATGTATCGGTCTGTTGTACACAGCAATTAGCATCTGCACCACTGATGTTCATGAATGTGATCTATACAAAACTGATCCGTTGGTAAAGAGGACTTGGTTCTGCTACTGTAGATGGGTTATTCAGCCTGTAACGTGCGCCAATGGTACAAGGGCATTGTTATCTTGGCATGGGGGCAGATCAGTTCCTTTATGTGTTTTTCTTTCTTGATGTTCACCAGGGTTGACATTCAACAGGTTAAATGCACTCACCATCTGTGCCCAATCAACGCCGTCGCTACTGAGAAAGTTTAGAGCTTATGCAACAATGTAAAATGCTCAGGAATGAACATGTAATGTTCAGAATATACAGTATGTGTTAATAGCAAATGTTTGTAATTGTGTTTGTAGTAGCTTTGGTCAATGTGTTGCCTAAAACCATAGGTTGTCTCTCAGACACCCTGTTTATTTTTTAAAGGAGTAGATTTTTCAGTGCTCAGTCCTTGAGAGAACAGCCTTTGTAACTTGGCCATGTGAAAACCTCTGAGCACTTCTGAGGAGGTAAAACTGCACAGGGTCCTGTTGAATCTCACACGTGGGAGGGATAGAATGCAGATTACCCCCTACATGGGCTTCCATCTTCTGCACCAACCATCGTTTATTCATGTGTAAATCAAAGCAGCATATCAGAGTAATGCACAATGACAAATTCTGCAGTTGCAATCTGATCTACAGAGTCTGTAGATCGCAGATTTACAGATCTACAGAGTACAGTGCCAGTGCTTGCATCAGAGATGACTACACAAATGTTTTATATTTCAGTATAGCTACAAATCAGATCTTAACACCAAATGTAATGGTACTGAGGGGATTTTAAAAATAATATATGGGCAGGCAAATTATTGCTCAGTTCATGCTCTTGCTTGAATTTGTGTGGGCGCTGTGATGGACTGGCATTCCATCCACAGTGTATTCTGCCTTACGCCCATTATCTGCCAGGTTAGACTAAGTGTGACCCTGTATTGGACTTAGAGGTTATTGAAAATGGTAGATGGACTCTTTACACAAAAACTAAAAAAGTGTGTAATTAATTATTTAATTATACTTTGAATATAATTACATTTAGTATATGTGTAATATTGTAGCACCCTGCACTAAGTATGTATGCTTAGTTTAAACATGAGTATCAAAAATTATTGTAAACATTTTATAAGTATATTTTTATGGAGCTCATTGATAAAGTGAATTCCCTATTTACAACATGAACCTAAATGCTGTAAAATCTATAAAATACTGTTATTTCTGAAAGTGTTAGCTTGAACATTCCATCATTAATCATACATTTTTGGGAGACCAAAGCATTTGAAATAGTATTACAGTAAGACCAAAAGCAGATGTTAAGGGAATGTCTAGAGAACTAGATGTGGTCATTTAACTGGGACATACATGAGGTTAAAAATGCTAAATGCTGTAAATGCTCTGCAGTCTAATTTCTGTCATATTTTTCCCCATTTAGTACATCTGCTTTTGTGTGCTGTTCTGGATGGAAGCAGTTAGGGGAAGAATGTATTCAACGTAAGTATGGGATTTCCTAACGTTGTTGCTTTTTACAGTTCTTTAAATAAAATTTATATTCTGTTATTTTTCACATTATTTTTTATTTGCTGTTTATGCACATTAAACTACTTGCATGCTCTCATAGTCACTTGGCAGTTAAACTATTTTTGTACAGCCATTTCTGGGAAATACTAGCTCACTGTGTCTTGTAATTTAAAAACAGTAATAAGAAATTACAAGAAAGAAACTAAATAAAAATGTTGTCTATTTTCCTCCTCTTCCTAGCTATCTGTGAAGGAAATTTCACCTGCAAAGAGAATGAGATTTGTGTGAGACCTAATGAATGCCGCTGTCGTCATGGATATTTTGGAGCCAGCTGTGAAACCAGTAAGCACATCTGTATCCTTTGTTCTGAAATTCTCTGGCAACGTTGCTGCTAATCCCAGAAAGCATCTCTCAGAAGAATCCAGAAAAAGAGTTGTGAATCTTTTACAGGATTCTGGGTTAGTTAACTGTTGTAGTACTCTCATTGTAGAAGTCTCATTGTAGAAGGCTTTACCCTTTTTTCTTGATAGAAAATAAATTGGGATAGTTGGAAACATATATCAATTCCATGTAAAAGACTGATCATGGTCTGGTCAGAATATTAAGATTGTTAGCAGCCAAGAGTACAAGGTAAATTCAATACTGCCTCAACTGCAAAAGAAAAAGAATCACTGAATAAGAGACATTTACTTTAACCGTAAATAAACTTTTTAGATTGCAGATAAAAGCATGTGTTTAAGGAGTCCCCATCATACTGTTACAAATGGGGGGTTATGAAAATTGTGAGTTTCTGGAATTGACTGAGTGGTTTAGTCAATAAGTAAAATAATGATTCATAACCCCCAATTTGTAAGTGATTTCTCCAGAATATACCCGTGCAGGTGGTGTAATTAGAGGCATGTGAATTTTTTGTTTTCTGGCACAGCTTTGTTGAAAAGAGCAAAACAAATATTTATTAAAGTGACCATACACAAACTTCACTACACACAACAAAAAATACAACACACAAGTTGCTCTATGTACAGTATTTACAAACAAGGCATTTCAGAGGCCTAACATTCTAATCACCCAGAAAACCCCCTAGACTTATTTTGAGTCTTAAACACCTAACGCCTACAGAGGTCAAGTAAGAGATAGGCTGCCTTCTAAATAAATGTGATACAACGTGCAGTTACACCTCTCTCACTGTACCCCAGATACCACAAAATAAATGGGAGCCTATGTCCCTATTCTAAAAATGCATCCTAAGCAGGAAAGATGTCTCTAACCGAGGTATCTTTTCCCCTGGAAACCCAGGTTCCCTAGAAACACAGAATAGCAAGCTCTCTCCAGCAAGGTTCAGATACTCAGCTCCAGTCAGGCTTTGTTTGGATGATCATGAAAGGAGGGGCTCTCGTTTGGCACAAGCATCAAGTCCCAGCTCCTCTCTCCTCTCCATTATTCTCCTCATACTCTTATCTTGTTGTACTCCTTCCTTGTTTTCTCCTGTTTTTTTGTTCTCTGTGCTCTTAATGTGATCTTATATTGTATGTTTCTGTACCACTCATTGACAGTCATTAACCCACAACTTACCTAGGTATACCAAGGTAAACTTTACAATGAATCCCGCATCTCAACAAACACCGTCTTTGCTCTGAAGCTAGAAACTCCAAACTTCAGACAAACGTCATCTTAAAAAAGAGACACTTCTCGGTACCTTAAGCTGTAACAATATCCAAACTTCATTTCCTGCAGAGTGTCCGCCACAGTACTGGGGTCCTGACTGCAAAGAAAAGTGCACTTGTCACCCCAACGGGCAATGTGACGACGTGAGTGGGAAGTGTACCTGCAATCCCAACCGCTGGGGCCCCAACTGCGAGAATGTCTGCCCCTGCCAGCGGGGCAAGTGTGACCAGGACACGGGCAAGTGCTCGTGCCACGCTGGCTTCTGGGGTGCCCAGTGCGCCAACAACTGCTACTGCAGCATCCACTCGGTGTGCGAGCAGAGCACCGGCCGCTGCATCTGCAATCCCGGCTGGTACGGCCGGAACTGCGGTGCCCAGTGCAACTGCAACAACTCGCCCTGCGAGCAGCACACCGGGCGCTGCCAGTGCCGGGAGAGGCTGTGGGGCTCCCGCTGCGAGCGCTTCTGCCAGTGCGTGCACGGCAAGTGCAACCAGGCGGACGGCACGTGCACGTGCGCGCCGGGCTACAGGGGCAAGTTCTGCAGGGAGCCCTGTCCTGCTGGCTTCTATGGCCAAGGCTGCAGAAACAGGTATGTGCATAAACTGACCTGCACTGGGCTGTGCTACTGTGTGCCTGCGTCAGTACTGCTGTTCATCGAATCAAATCATGACGGTCACTTGGCCACATTCGGCTATGAAATACCTCCACAAAAAAAAAAGATAAGCAATCTTCTACCTGCAGAACTGATTTTTTTTTTTACAGCGCTGTAAGTGAAAGTGTTGCAGAGAAACTCAATTGTATAATACACTTAATGCAAAAAAAAATGCAAAATTGTACACTTGTCCATTGTTTGCAGTTCAGTATGTGTCATTTTACCATTTTTGGGGTTCACTAATGCTAATATTTTAGGTTGTTTTTTTAAATATATATACCATTGCCAGCGTTAGAACTTTCATGAATTTGCTGTTTAATTGACTCTGATTCCAGGATAATTAAGATGATGTTGAGGTAATATCCTGAATGAACCTTGCCGAGAGCAGAATACAGACGACCGTATTGAACAAGTAGAAGCTGTACTTTGACATGCTGTCACTTCGTCTCATTTAAACCCCGACTGTGCTATTTTACCCGGGCTGCGTGTGTTACTGGGCAGTAAAAGGCCGAATCACCCCTCAGGTGCGGGCATTGTAAAGGCCAGCAGCCTTGCAAGGTGACTGAAGGGCGGTGTGTGACTTGTGAACCCGGGTGGAATGGCACCAAGTGTGACCAGATGTGCGCTCCAGGCTTCTTCGGGGAGAACTGCAAGGACGTATGCCCCCCTTGTAAAGACGGCCACCACTGCAACCGAATCGATGGCAAATGTTCACACTGCAACCCTGGCTGGATTGGTGATCGGTAATTTTATTTTTTCTCTCCAAAGTGTATCTGAATGTTCACGCTTACAGTCGTGGTCATCTGTTCATGCTCACGATCCCGGTCACTTGAGGCTTTGTTTCAAATGGGCAAGAAAACCGAGCTCCTTGGTTTCCCTTTGGAAAGCTGAAATTGAAGGCCACAGTTTAACTAGTTTAATAACATTTCATTATAGTGGTGCAATTATGAATTAGTCATTAAATAATGACAGCACACCAGCCGGTATTTTTTTTTATTTTGAACTGGATTGATGCTGTTGTTTTGGTAACAGTTTCAGAAAAAAAAATGAAAATGAACTTTGACCAGTTTCTAAACTAAGAGTGACCTGTTCTTTCTTTCCTCAGTTGTGAAATGAAATGTCCCAATGGAACGTATGGGGAGAACTGTGAGAATGACTGCAGTGATTGTTTTAATGGGGGATGTCATTTTGCCACTGGTGAATGCCTTTGTGATCCTGGTTTTTATGGGACATAGTAAGTTTATATTCCATATTCCAAAGTTAAGACTTTTATGTTGAAAGTGCCTATAGGTTACGCATTTTAATTTGAACACATAAGATTTCAGCTGGGGGTTTTCAAAACTCCCCCTGACCCTGGCCAATGAGCCTGAATTCGCTAAGCTCTTATTAAAAGTGATGTGATGTTTTCAAAGCCTGTCGTAGAAATAAAAGGCATCTTTTGTCTTGTGAACCACTGTTTGATACAATAATGTCTGGCTCAGGTTCTCCATTCCTGATTACTTGTTTTTAATAGAAAAATATTTCACCCTTCAAACTTAACCTAAATATGATATAAAAATATTATGACAGGAAAACAGTGGAAAGACACTTTCAAATCTGTGTGGGAGGAAAGAAAAAAAGAAGTTGTTGCTAATGCTGTTTTTTATAAATGACAGATATTTTATCCTAAGGCTAAATAGCTTTCATCCTCAATGACATCTGTTTACATTTATCTTCTTTTTCCTGGTCAGACGCTAGCTATCATTCGTCTCTGTCTTTATTTAATTTTTATGAACATGTCTGATGCCAGAAAGAATCTCAAGGGTGGAGACACAATTCTCAGGCAATTTAGTAAGTGATGAGTCAGAGACTGATTAGTAAAATACACAAGGCCCCTAGAGTCTGTCTGCACATCTTATTTATGTTAAACTGACAAAAACATTCACAAATGATAAAAAGTTAATTACATTCTTGTATTTAGGAAGCAGAATTCCATTAGCAACTAAGAAATTTCAATTTGTAGTAATTATTTTCTGCTATAAAGCAGATTGAAGAGTTCACTACCTCAGTCCAATTTATTGATTTATATTATAGCTATTTATTTTCTCTTTACAGTTGTAATATGAGCTGTCCAGTTGGTCAATATGGTGTGAACTGTGCTCACAGCTGTTCTTGCCATGATCTTAAGTGTGATCCTGTCTCTGGCTCCTGCACCTTACGTAAGAAAACTTTTCTAATTTAAATTAGCCTACTTTCAGTCACCTAAGTAATAAGAGGAATGAAACTGAAAACCTTGATGTACCATGCTTTATTTAAATTGTGCCCATTTGCATAAAACATATTTAAATAGTATACTTACAGGTAAATTATCCACTATCTGATGTGTTATGTAAACACCTTAATTTTTCTACTGGTTCCAATGGTAAACTCAATATATTTTCTAGAATTTATCTTTTATCAGTATGCAATACATACACATTATTTTTTTAAACTTGTTTGTTTTTTTTTATTTGAGGTTAATTAATCCCTTTTCATGGCCATTTTCAGCAAACCAAATAAATGTGTTGTAAAATAATAAAAATATTGCAAATTTATACAGAGTTATTGTAGCACTGCAAATTTGTAGATTCCATAGAGTGTCATCAAAATATTTTCTACATTATCACCACAACCAAAATGTACTATAAAAACAGTGCTTTCTCTAATATTCGCTTACCAGCTTAGGATTTTGTAATGTCAAACATCCCCAGGTAACCTCTTTAAAAAATAGATACACAATAGATACTGTACATGATTTACTGTAAATGACTGAACTGTGGCCATGAAGTTAGATTGGAATTGTCTGACAATAAAGTACACTCTTCCAGTAATGTTGGAGAAATCTTGCTAAAATATTTTGTGCAGCGAAACCAAGCCACAGTCTTCCTGCTTTGCCTGGAAATGATGTCAGTTTTTGTGGAGACTGGGCTGCCATGAAATCATAAAGCAGCATGAATTGGGCTTTAAAATATTCAGTTCAAGATTCGTGTTCTTACCTTCTATTCTTTCCATCACTGTTTGACTTCCTATCTCCAATGACCTCATCTTTCCTTATAATCCATATAACCCCCATGTATTTCCATCCTTTCCACTCATCTGCTTCTGCCATCCTAGAGCAGTAGTTCCCAACACTGGTCTTTAAAGATCAGGAATCTAGCAGTTTTTCTAGGTCTTGTAACATTTTCAGCAACTTAGGATTGTGGAGAAGGGATAAAAAGATCCTGTGAAACCTTAACTGCGGCAGCTTAATCCTTCACCCAGGCCTGCTGCTGTTTATAAGTTAACTAGATGTGGAAAAATGGACCCTGAACACTTAGGACAGGCCCAGTGCTGTCTTCTGTTTGATCTCCTGGTCTGTCTGTTCATTCCTTTTCTTCTCTAGCCTCTCTGTAGGGGAATGAGTTACCTGCAGGACCATCTCCTATCACCGTTTAATTTTCTCAGGCTTCACTTCTGGATTTTATGCCCTGTCTACCTTGAAACCTACCATTCAGCATTAACACTGCACTGCTTGACGTTGACTGTAGAAGCATTCTTTCTAATTTCATTTCTTTTAATAATGAATTCTTTGGCCGTCATTCTTATGATCTTTTTGGTAATCATATTTCTTGCTCTTCATTGACTGTGTTACTTATTCCATATCCTGTCTTTCTTATTTCAATGGTTTTTTGTGTCTCTCATTATTGCACAGTTTGTTATAGGTACCCATGAAGGGATATAATTGTCTCAGTTTAGATAAACTATTTTTTATAGGTTTCCTTGGATAAAAAGTGTCAAGTGAATAAAAATGTCCACTTATTCATTTGCTCAACCTTTAACTAAATTAACAAATGAAGGATAAAAACGACGTAGCTGAGAACAGGGGGATTAAATATATTTTTTTAGCAATTTATTTTATGAAATTACCATTTGAATTCTGAAATGATTACCTATTGCTCATTGGCTTTGTGATTGTTACTCTGCAGTCTGTTTGTCTATTTTTTATGTCACATGAGTATTACAGTTCTCTTCAACGTGTCATTGACAGAATTTTGTTTCCCTTCTGTGAGAGAGAAATTATTCTGGCAAGGCAAGTTTTTAAGTTTAGCCTTCTCAAACTATACAGTATTGTTAATTCTTGCTGTTTTTGTTGAAAACTGAGCCTGTAGAAAACGCTCAGAGTTGTCTCTGGTAGATTTAAATGTTGTCTTCCTTGTGGTATGAAAGCTATGAATTCCCAAGTTATCAACCAGTATATAATGATTACATAGTATACATTATATACATACATTAAGGTGGTCAATCCAGATATTGCTTTGACTTATCACTGTGCCCTTGATTGTATTTCCAGAAGGGGATCTTGTGTCTTTTTTATGGCTGTGTTTGTTGGCAGAATTCCCTCTCACCAAGTGAGTGAGAGTACAGGGAGAAGGCTTGTACTCATAGCTGCTGAAAGGAAAAGGGAATTTATTGGGAAGCAAGGTTACCAGAGGTCGTGTGGGTGGACATGCAGGGAAATCCAGAGTAGCTGTGATGATGTCACAATGTCAAGGCTTAACAAGCCCTTCCTTTATTCAGCTGTGATCACAGATGATAACTCCTAACACCCAGCTGCATTTTGGGTCTTCTTTAGCTTGTTTTATGGACAGTAGCACAGCTTGTTGCCAAGTGCAGCTATCACCATTCTGAAAAGATAAGAAGATATTCATTCTTTCTGTGTCTTTCCAAGCCTTCCAAAAAAGTCTCTCGAACTAGAAATATCAACAGCCAAATCTGTAATGTCATAATTCTTCTTAAATCTTTTTGTAAAAAGCCAAGCTTATGATGTAAATAACATCTAGAGAAGGGCCAAAGTCAGACCTTGACAGGAATAGGTAATAATGTGGTAACAGCTGGGCTACAGTTTGCATTTAATACAAACATCCATTGTAAAGTTTTATCAGAGCTCTTCAATTCAATATTAAGCACTGTCTATTGGATGTTTAAAGTAGATTTCTGTAGTTTTTACATTATGAAAATGGACCCGACAGACTAAACAGTATACAGTAAGTTAAATAACTGCAATTTAAAGCACTACTTGTCAGTCTCCAAGCATAGTGTCACAGGAACAAACAAGAACACAAGGCTTTCTTAGGTCATGGGGTCCTTCACTACTCCAGCGCTTCTCAAGCAAACTTCAGACCACCTGTCACATTGGCTTACGGTGATTTTTGAGTTGTAGGAAGGAATGAAATCTGATCTCAAGGTCAATGCCAAGAAAAGGCAGCTTGTCTGTGCTGGAGCCAGGGGGAAAAGGAAGTGTGAATCAATGGGGCACATCTAGTGTACAGTAGCTCTCAAAGAAAATGTGTGTGGTGCTTGTATAAAGAGTATAAAGGGCTTACTTTATGTTCATATGTTCAATATTATCATTTGTCTTCCTACATTTTAAGTTTCTGTTGGATTTCTACCATTAGAATTTCCATTTTTCATTTGGATAATGCTGTGAGAGTTAATGAATGTATATTTGGGATATAATAAGTATCCCAGATCTTGAAATTTGAGATTAAGGGCACAGATTATCGTGCCCTTAGTAAGGTTATTGATGCCATTGATAGGAAATTAATTGGAAGCCAGCTTACCCTGGGACACTTTATGGGCTGACCACAGGTTGGTGACAGTCTGTGCTTTCGTCTTCAGATCCTAATCAGAGAATGGGCGTGATTGCTGCAGGGGCTCTCGTGACTTTCCTGCTCATTCTCCTGCTGTCTCTCCTGTGCTGCTGCTGCATGTGCCGTAAAAAGGATGAAAACAAGTAAGTACAGGCCCACCACCTTCACAAGGAGACCTCCGCGGTGACAGCTGGGTGAGAAGCCTTGGCCCCCTTTCTATGTTTACACCAGAGAAAGGGGATCCAATGTCCTCAGCTACGTGTATTTCTATCAAGAAAACATTCCAGCCTTTTATTCCGTGTTTTAAATAGAAGTCTTGGTCTTTTAAAATGTGTAAATGTGCCTTCATTCCTAAAGTATTGGTAACTAAAGTTGTTGTTCAAATGGGTTGTGCTTTTCTGGCATTTCTGCTCCTGGTTTTTTGCATTTTCCATTACACATTAGGGTCTGTGTTAATTATTTAATAATTAATAATTGCTTACACATATATAGCGCTTTGCTGGGCACTCCATTAAAAGCGCTTTACAGGTAATGGGGACTCCCCTCCACCACCAATGTGCAGCCCCAACCTGCATGATGTGACGACAGCCAAAGTGCGTCAGTATTCTCACCACACATCAGCTATCAGTGGGGAGGAGAGAGTATTGAAGCCAATTCATAGATGGGGATTATTAGGAAGCCATGATTGGTAAGAGCCAATGGGAAATTTGGCCAGGACTCCAGGGTTACACCCCTTCTCTTTTTGAGAAATACCCTAGGATTTTTAATGACCATAGAGAGTCAGGACCTCTTTTTTTATGTCTCGTCTGAAGGACAGTGCCTTTATACAGTATAGTGTCCCCGTCACTATACTGGGGCCTTAGGACCCACACAGAGCACAGGGTGAGCGCCCTTGCCCAACCTGAGGTTTTCCCAGGAGTCTCCCATCCAGGTACTGACCAGGCTCACACCTGCTGAGCTTCAGTGGGGCTGCCAGCTGGGAGTTGCAGGCTAATGTGTTTTAATACAAATTGTATTATAAGCAGTATTGAAGAGAGTGAAAAACTGCTTTTAAGTATTTACCTGTGACAAAATAGTTTAATTTATAGTATTAAAAACCTGACAGTACTTTCAATATGGTCACGCCTTGGTAGATATGATAATGTGAAGAGAAATGTATTAGCATCATTGTATATTCTAACCAGAACTTCTAAATGTCTCACATGAACATTAGAAACTGATTTTTTCCCCATATTGTATTTCCTTCAGTCCAGATCGTGATAATTCTATTAACAACAAGAAAGCCAAAAGACGTCTGTGTGGGAGGTTCAGCAGAATTAGTACCAAACTCCCCAGAATCCCACTGAGGCGACAGAAACTACCAAAGGTTGTCGGTAAGCCCAAGACTTAGCTCTTCTCCATCCATGCTATGGGATTCGCCATGTGTGAACCCTGGAAACTGAAGATATTGTTCACATATGCTACAGTGTGTGAACTGCACAGGGGGAAGCAGAGGTTAACCTAATACTGAACTGTAAATATAGGAAAAACTAAATGTTTTGGAACCTGTGTTTGGAACCTAACATGTTGTTTTGGAGTTTTATCCATTTTTTATCAATGCCATACCTTACCTATTTTTAGTTTTTTCTCACTTCTTCGAATATTTTTCTTTTTCAAAGTCTGGATTTTTATTACAAGAGCAGTGGAATCATAGCAGAATTTTCCAGTCGTATCTCAGAGAAATGATACCTCCATTAAACTCCCTTCGCTTTTTTTTGGTTTATGGCCATATAGAGCTATCAAAAAGACAAAACATTTCAATTCCGAGATATTTGTCTGACATGTTTGCTTACTTACACATACATGTCAAGCAGAAAATCTAATAACTATAATCTCTGTAATCTTATGAGTGTGCTTAGTTGTGGTTTAGCTGTTTTGTTTTAGTTATCATCTGGGTTTGGTTTTTGGTGCAGGTTCTATTTCAACAGGACTAACAAAGATCTAGTGTTTTTGCTGGTAAACTTTGAGTTCATGCCCTGGCTTCTGTGTGACATGCATCTTCGACTTCTTAAAATAATCAATTGATGTTTGATAATTGTGTGATTGGTTGACACAACTGTATTTATAATACTGTCCAGTTGAGAGTGCTTCTTACATTTTTCCTGATGTATTGTTAAACCTTGAACTTATTTTGGCCCAAAGATGACTTTTTTTTTTAATCGGGTAGCCTTGCAAACCACTGGAATCTAAAATAGGCTTTAGGAAAAATATGAGATCTCCTGTCTCAGGAGAGCTTCAGAGATGACATTAAACACACTTTTCCCCAGACTCTTAGAGGCATTCTTAATCAGAGTATTGGCAGAATAAAATTCATAACTAGTATTTGTTTCAATACTAAGAAATAAAATATATAAGCCTGGTTACACCAACAAAATCCTTTGCCTGTGGAGTAATTTTTTCACTGTAAATAGGGTTGAAAAACTCTGTTTATACTGCCAAATGGGTATGCTATTTCATTTGAATGGAATGTTCTGGTCGCAAGCCTTATTATTTTTGGCACTCTTATATGCCATGTGTTCATATTATTACAACCTTAAACGAGCTTTTCTTTTTTTAAAGTGACTCTTGAACTGAGAGCTATATTATGAGAAAGCTCACGGTATACAAGTTCTTTGGTGAATGATCATTCATCAAAGGTTAATCTGTCAAGAGTGCCAACAGCAACACTACACAGCAACTCAGTTAGAGAAGTGAGAATTTGTATTGAAAGGGGCAACTTTGCTTCTGAAGGGGTGATTTTTGTCAGGTTATATTGTACAAGCACAGAGAGAAGTTTGTCTGGACACAGGACACAGGCAATTTGCAGTTGATGGGCTTACATCCATAAGGATGTAAAGGTGAATTAACTCCCTTATTGTTACATGAGATCTTTAATGTGTAGTTTTGCATGTCTTGTATATAGCATATCTTCATCAGCACAATGTGTCCTCATCCTATTTGTTAGTCCTCTTACATCATACTGGGGTAACTTGGATTGGAAATTCAGGTCCAGGAGGAAGAACACCACCTACTGGTTCACCTGCATCAGTTGCACCAGCATAGACGAGTTCTCCCAGTTTCTCTCACCATAGAAAAGAAAATGGGATCAGTTAAGTCATGTAAGGAGTACTGCAAACATACATTGCTTTATTATACTGATTTTATACAACGTTTCCTTGTACAGTGCATTTTAAAATGATCACTTGGCATTATCTTATTATCTTTTATTAAAAGTTATTTTAATTATATGTGAACTTCAAAGCCTTTTGTTTCTAATTTGCAATGATCTTGGCCTTGTGACTGTAAATGCATAAGGATGTAAAGGCAAATTACAATTTTTTCACAGATTATGAATTTACAGATATATTTCTGTGATTTGTACTTATTTCCAAATTCACATTAACACACAGGGGAGGATGGTACTGCTCCAATTTATCCCCTTTAAGATTGACCTGATTTAGGGTAGACTATTGGAAAGTATAGTTTTTAGCTGTAGCTAGAGATTCATCTTATATACTTTCGAAGACTTTCTGAATATCCTCAGGACACATTGACAAGGTCAGCCCAACAGTAACACAAGTGGAAACTGTGGGAAAGTGCATTTAAACCTAGAACAGGAGTCACTGCTTCACAAGAGGGTTGTGGGAGTCAGGAACAAGCTACCTAGCCATGTTATTGAAGCAGATATCCCAGCTATCTGAAATGATTAGAAAAAGCTGAATGATTTGCAGTTGATGGGCTGAATGATCTCAGCTCATTTGTAAATGTTTTTATGTTCTGTTTTCAGGTTCTAGTCAGCAGATTTCATTATTGTAACATGACTACAGTACTGTTTTTATATGCCTTGTCACTCTCATCTCAACTCCATGAACTTTCCTTAAAACATTAGGAACATACAGTGAGTGTGTATGCCTATGGGATCTGCTCTCTTAATAGTGTGAAATGGCTGTCCATTTGTGACTCTTTTGATAAGTATTACTAAACAATACAGCTGATCAATAAAATTATAAACGTGGAATAGCATTGCAGATTTGAATGACTGTAGTCAGAGCTCTAATTTTGTGTAGTGAAAACCGAGGAATCTAGCTATGTATAAGATCATATGAAAGTTGAAAGAACACGTTATAGCCTCGTAATAACATGGTGAGGGCTTAAAGGTCAGATTTTCCATGAGACAAGCTAATTACTTAAAGTATTCAAGAATCTTTTCGTCATTCAGATACTAAATATAGAGCTCTTTCAGCAGGAAGTTGTGTAACTGATTAGTTCTGAGTAGTGCATTTTTGTAGTCTACCATTTACAAATTGTACTTTTGTGCAAAAACATCTAAGTATATGTTGCATGGAGTACTATATATATACAGTTAGTTAAAACCATCAACTTAAGACTTTGATCTATCCGTTTCTTAAAAAGAATACCAGATGAAAACTGTAGCAGACAAAATAGAAGCAATAAAGGAGAAGAAAAGAGAGAGCCAGGATAAACTATTAGTTAATATAATCTCATTTCAGTGTTTTACGCTACATCCAGTTGAAAATCCCTCCAGCGATTGAGTCCCGCTCTGTACTCAACGGGAAAAGCTGAATGTGCCTCTTTTTTCCCCCGCCCGATGCTCTGCTTTCCTCGTTGCCTGCCCGCAGAACTGAACTCGTCGTTGTTTGAAACTCTATCCTCACAGGGATCCCAAACCCTGCGCATTCCACAGGGGGGCCTCTGGGCCTAACACAGGAAGTGGCCAAATTTATCCCAGCCTCCGTCAGTCCTGTGATTTATCCACTGTGGGGTCAGTGGCAGCAGATGTTTGAAACAAAGGGAGGAGGTCAAAGGAAATGCTCTGCTCCTGGGATCGTCTCTTTCATTGCTCTATACCCATCGCTTTTCCTGATAACTTCAGCCATTAATTTCTTTTTTATTGGCGTATTAAGCTGCTGCCATTCCATTCTCCCAGTAATAGCTTTACCTCTCTTCCGTTCCTCATTGTCATCTTTTTCCTGTGATTGACTAATATGAATGTGTTATTTTCTACCTCTCTGTATCCACTTTCCTTCTTTCAAAAACTCATCCAAAACCACTTCCGAATGTGGACACCTGCTGTTAAAGTCCAGCTTCGTGCAGCTGTGAGTGACTCTACAGCTGGGTCTCATCAGGCCTGTGCCTTTTGTCTTGTAGTGCTGTTTAGTTCTGGCTTCAGTGGCCCCTCTCTACTAAACCTCGTTGGAGTATTTATATAGCATGGGTTGTGTGCCATCTCAGCTCTAACAAATTAAGCTTTAGCTGACTGTTCTTGTGGCTGTGTCTGATGAGAAGAGACCCTGTGGAATTCTGGAATGAAACAGCTCAATTTATGCAAAATCATAAACTGCCAGAATCTATAGCTTTCAGAATTTCAGAGACATTGCAGAGAAGCTCACAATCTGACAAAAATACTATGTAACACTTTGTTGCACTTTAACATCTTACAGGTTGTTAATGCAATAAATATACTTTAGAGGCAAATGGAAAGGCACACATGCATTGATATAATGAAGTTGCTGTGTTAAATGAGCTCTGTTGTGATTCAACAACTTAAAGAGTAGCTGAACGGCAGTGACCCAGGGAAAGAAAGTTAAACCCAGGTATAAAAGCAGGTAAAAAAGATTTGTAGCTGGATGCCCTAATGCCATGACTGATTGAGATGGGGTCCCTTCAATCTGAAAAGTGGAATCCTGTGGAATGGAATGTACAAAATAAATGTAATTCTAGTAAATGGATCAGGCTTTGTTCCATCCCTGTTAATACCCTACTCTTGGCAAAAAGCATTGTAAAAGGGGGCATTATGCTTTCACTCTAGAACTGTGCCTCTGACATCCCCTTACATACCGTTTCAAAAGAGTTTGTAAAAGTCGGAGGAGAGGTGATTCCCACAGGATGACATCATGAAGGACTGTGAACATGAGAAATCATCACAACATTGTATAACAATGAAGAGCATTGGTGTCATTTGTTCTGTGGTGGAAGCTCACATAGAAATATTTTGATAACTGATATATATTTTCTGATATTTTAAAATATTTTTTGTGAAGAGGGTATGATATAATCACATATATACTGTACATTGCAGAATACCTAAATTATTTCTAGAAATGTGAACTGTAATCAGAACCTAAGCACATTTTAAAAGAATTTTCTCTTTCATAAATGGGAGGATTTGACTGACGTTTTTTATTGTAAACGTACATGACATCTCAAACCTAAAGCAGAGAAGTCACGGAAAATCTCCCCACAACGTTTTCGAAAACAAAACGAGACCATGGCCAAGTAAACAGGCATGTCTTCTGTGGTCAGAATGAAATCCTCCTCTTTCAGCCTGTGAACTGATGGGAAACGAACCACAGCCCTTCCTCAGCTGTCGTTTTTGGTCAGAATAAAACATCCACATCAAAAGGATTTAGCAAGAACAAAGCAGCAGAAGGAAATCAAGCAGAAACGTTAGACATGTACTGTCCTGTTTGGAATTTAGCACAGTTGTTTCTTATTTGTGTTTTTTTCAGAAATCTAAATAAAATTCATAGATTTTTTTGTCTCATATAAGACAAATAAAGAACAATTACTAATATAGGGTAACCTAGGAGGGAGAATACTAAATGACTAGACATGGTATTGTTAGTGTATACTACATAATTACGAATTTTACGTTTTCTCTTAAATAAGATGGCCCTGATGGAATATTGGTATTTCAGTATTTCAAGATTCAGCCTTGATATTTTCCATTTTTTTACAGTTGCCACTCCTACTCATCATTCGATCATAAGAGACTCCTGTGTTGTGAATTATTCTGAGACAGCCAATGCTGAAACATTTTAGTATTTTATTTTTTTTATTACAATGGATGATGATTTTGTATTCTTCTACATTTCAGTGGCACATCATGACCCTGAAAATACATTCAACTGCAGCTTCATCGAGCCCCCCTCTGTGGTCGAGCAACCTTCCCCATCCTGGTCATCACAAGGCTCTTTCTCCTCTTTTGAGACCAGTGATGATGGGCCTGTCTACTGTGTTCCTCATGAAGGTGAGTCAGGCAGTAGGACTGAGCTACATAAGCTTCAACTGTCCGGAGAATCAGTTAAAGTGCTTTATTTTACTGCCTGTCCACTGGGTCACCTTAAGATAATAATAATAATAATAATAATAATAATAATAATAATAATAAAAATTCCTTACACTTATATAGCGCTTTGCTGGACGCTCCACTCAAAGCACTTTACAGGTAATGGGGACTCCTCTCCACCACCACCAATGTGCAGCCCCACCTGGATGATGCGACGGCAGCCATAGTGCGCCAGCACGCTCACCACACATCAGCTATCAGTGGGGAGGAGAACAGAGTAATGAAGCCAATTCATAGATGGGGATTATTAGGAGGCCATGTTTGGTAAGGGCCAATGGAAAATTTGGCCAGGACGCCTGGGTTATACCCCTACTCTTTTCAAGAATAACCTCTTTTTTAATGACCACAGAGCCTCGGTTTTACAGTATACTGTCCCCATCACCATACTGGGGCATTAGGACACACACAGACCACAAGTTGACCATCCTCAGCTGGCCCCACTAACACCTCTTCCAGCAGCAAACTTCCCAGGAGGTCTCCCCTTCAAATACTGACCAAGCTCGCACCTGCTGTGCCCCTGGAAAGGCCACAGGGAAAAGGGATAAAAACCCATGGAAACATGGGGAGAACATGCAGATTCCACAACGTTGAGGTCAGATTCAAACATACGATCCTGGAGCTGTTAGGCAATAGTGCTGCCTATTGTGACACCATGCCACCCCATGTTGTATACAAAAACATTTGAAATTACTAAAACCTAAATGAGACTAAGGCCACCCCTGCTTCAAATGGCAGACTTTAACATTTTCTTTATCTTTCTTATCTACTCAAACACTACACCCATTAGCAGTATAAACAAAAACAGGAAATGTTCTGAGGACCAGCTCAGCCCATGGCACACTTCCAGCCTGTGACTCATTGGTTTTTTTTTTTAAATGTGAAACATGGAAATCTGTAGAAAAGTTACCAATCTTTCAGTCAACTACCAGAGCTATAATTCTACATAGCATAGCCACAAAATAGTACTCTATAATTTTCACTGAGGATTGCGTTATTCAGTTATTTTCCGAAGAAAATTAGGATTGTTGCATAATTTCTGGGCTCAACTTCCTGTATTGGGTCTAGAACTTTATGATAAAGCCATGTAAAATATCTTCTTGATATATAGCATTATCTTGACTGTATACCAGGCAAGGAAATGTACTGCACATAAAGAAAGTAACGATAATGTGATGTAGATATGGTTGTAATTTGCTTTATTGGCACAGGGTTACAGGCTGTCCAAGCCTCTTACAAATTTAGAGAAAATAGTCCCTGCCGAAGAATTAATTTAAAGAAAAAACATACTCATAACCCTGGTTTTGTGCATTTCAATCCAGCCTCAAAGGTCTGTGGAGTTTGTGTGTGTTATCCCCATGTTTGGATGAGTTTTCAACAGGTGCTCAGGTTACCTTCCTGCCCCCAAAGACAGGCTGATTAGGTTCATTTGGATATTCAAATGTTTCCTTTCTCTTGAGCCCTGTTGACAGGCAGCACTTTCAAGGGGAGAACGCTCATGGGCTCACATTGCTCTGTGCTTCCTGTATCCTACAAACCGGGATAAGCAAATAATGGGTGAATGAGGGAATAAACAGACCCACACATCTATATTATTAATCAGGCTCACCAAAACATGAGATATACAACAGCAATACATAACTGTCTTTAATAAATGCATGCTCTTTTTAATCTCCATCCAGAATCTGTGTCAGAGAATAAAGAAAAGGGAAGCCCCAATGTAGTAGAGAAGATGGCAACGCCCATCAGTGAGGAGGATGCTGGGGAATATACTTCTCTGAAGGACACAGGTTCCAGTAAACAGTGCCTCGGGGACACAAGTGAAACATCTCTGCTGAAGTCTTCTGACAGTGAAGGATCCACCAGTGGCTCAGAATCCACCAAACCCCTGTATGCCAAAATTGCACGGCTATCCAAGCAATCCAAAGATGATGAAGACAGTGGCAGCTCTGATGTCAAAGGCACTGACAAACCTCCATCACCAGAGAGGACCAAGCCTCGTCCACCAGACCCTTCTACGAAGCCCAAAGTGTCATGGATCCATGGCACCTCTGGGTCCAGCCAGACACCAGAAAAAAGTCTAGTATCACCAAATGCCAAGGAGAAGAAGCAAAGTTCGAGTGAGAACCTTGGGAAAAGTGAGGAGAAGCATAGTGGCAGGGTCAAGGAGAAAGGTAGCAAGCATAAAGAGCAAAGTTCTCCAGATGCCAAAGAAGGGGCAAACTCCCCAAACAAGCACAGATCACACAAAACTAGGCCAGGCCAAGAGCAGATGGAACACATTAATGGAGCTGTTCAGAATGCATTAAAGAAGATTGGTAACTTCCACGTTGACAAAAAAGGCAGCGATGCAAAAGAGGAGCCAAAAAGCCCCAGGAAGTCACGTGAAGTGATCCATCCTCACATGAATTCAGAAGCAGCCACTTTGCTGGCCGCACAACTGAAGGAGAAGACTCAAAGCATTAACCGAAGTGAAGGTTTTGCAAAGCAGAATGGCTTGTCCACTCCGCAGGCACACAGAGAGAAACCCACCCCTCCACAGAAGGCCAAACGCTCAGCAGCTGCGGTCAACCAGAATTCCAGTAAGCCTCTGTTGTCCACGTCTAACAGCTTGCAAAAAATGGTAGCCCCTGTTTCAGAAACTTTGTCGCCTGAGACAAAAACCCTTGAAAAACAGGAGTCTGATAACTTGAGACAAGAGCCAGGAGACCCAACACCAAGGAAGACGCCCATCAAAAAACCTCCAAGGAAGAAAGGAAAGGAAGGAACTTTAGACTCTGAATCTAAGTCTCACCCGAAGACGGCAATAATGCCACCTCTGACAGTGAAATGAAAAGAGCACAGTTTAAGGAAAACTACCAGGGTTTCCATTCCTAATGGAAAGGACAACTATTATACCTACCAAAATTAAATAACCAAAGAAAAAAACAGCTGTTCAGTTATTATGAATAAATATTATGGGAGTGAATTTACTTGCTTTCAAGATTTTATGGAATGGACCAAATGTTGCACGCAGTACTTCCTGCAGAACAGAAAAGGTTAAACTTCTAATATCAGACTTTGGAGTACTGAAATGCTAAGACAGACTATGGGCCATTCAGTATTATCTGGACTTTATGCAGTTTTTTATGTTGCTGTAGTTGTAAACATGCAGTGTTTTTAGTATTTTCTGTTATAACAAGCAACATAAGATATTCTGATTTTTTCTGAGGATAGTAAAAGAAATTCAGAAAGCAGTCTTTCACTGTTTTTCTGCATCTTATTTTTGTATATGTGTATTTAATATACTCCAGGTGATGCTGGTTTTGAAGTATAGTATTTAATACATAACTAATGTGCAAGTAAAGTAGCCAATATTTTGATTCTGAACGGTACTAAAAAGAAAGTACTAAAATGGCGTGTTCAATCTTTATTATAAAGATTGTGTTCCAGTCTCCTAGATACTCTGGGCTTTTGAACAAGCACAAATTTGCTATCTCAGAAAGTTAGCTATTATTTTGATTCCAAAGTCCTTCAAAGATTTGAACTTAAGAAGTCAACGGCTGCGTGTTGAAGTAGATTTACTTCATAATGCTAATATCGTTCTTGCCCTCATTGGTATTTAACATTTGTAACTGTTACAAAACACTTACAGGGTGGTTTTCATATTTGTGCTTCTGAAAAAATCCCCATGCTTTTAAAGTAATTGTGAGATTTTACAGGTACAAATCTAAGCAAAATAGCAGTATAGTTTTGAAATGGATTTTACTTATACTCTACAACAGAACATTATTTGAGGGACAATGTAACAATGGCCCTAAGGTACAAGAAACAGCTGCAGTTTGCTACGTAATAAGATGCAAAGGAACAAGTAATAGGTTTATTCCATGCTGAAAAAAAGAAGAAAGAGAACACAACGTGTCGGCCGTGGAGCCTTCTTCACCGGAATAAACCTATTACTTGTTCCTTTGCAGCCTACGCATGCTGACGCAGCTACCCACCTGAACTACGTAATAAGATGTTTGGAAAGTTACAGCTGTTTATGAACAGTTCAAGCTGGAAAATGGAAATACCTTCTCACACTTCCACTTTCCTACACATAAAGCTCCCTGGCTGTCTGCATCTTTTCTAGCACTTGGTGTTTCACATTTAGCATGTCTTACCTTCATTATGTTCATTCAAGACTAGAGCTGTTTTTTTTAATACTTCAGCCTCAGCCCTCCGTTGAAAAGAAGCATCGCTGCATCCACCATCCCATCTGAGTTTTTCTATAAGGACTCCTAATGTAAGCAAGCCTTACAGAAAAAGGAAACAACTTTGACAGTGTTGTCCCCCTCCCCTCTCTCTTTTCCTAATCTCACCCACTCTGGTTTCCGACCCCCCTCCCCCCCCCTTTCTACAATTCTGGTCTAGTGTCCAGTGCACTGCACCTATGGCCCCAGCCTATATCGTATACCGCCCCCCCCCCCCTTTAGTTGGTGTCCAACTGGTCATATATTGGCCCTCAACTCTATCCCCTCCTAAAGATTCCAGTCGAAGACGTATCTGATATTCCTTCTCTTTCCCAATATTTAGCTCAGAATACTTTTTCATCTATTCTAACTAGTACTGCTACTAGACCATACTGCTGTCACGTATTTGCTGACTTGCATTATGTCACCTGTGGTATAGGGGCTTCTCATGCACTGTTTCCGAATCTAATCAGACTTGCATCATACACGCTTTTTTATTCTTTCCATGTTAAACACACATTCTACTACGTTCCAGAGAAGGCACAGTTCAACCAACTTTCTCTTAACTCAGTGTTTAAAATCTGCATCTGGGTTTTAGGAACTTTTTGGAATGGATGTGACAGCCCTTGATCTCTGACTAGTACTGTCTTTTCCTCAGCCAGGCGAGTTAAAGCCAAAGTTAAGAATGCTGTCTCTTTTGATCTGTTGACTCATTTCACCATTATTGGAAATTGACCAAAAAACTAAAATGTCACTTATCAGCATAAAACAATCAACCATGAATTTAAAATAGATCTTTGTTTTCAGAGATTGAAATCACTACCTTTGTCTTGGTGATAAGAAAGGCGTTGAAATGCTGTTTCACATGGTAAATTCTGATATTGCAGTACAGTTGTTAATGTACCTTTCTCCCAAAAAATACCAAAGCAGTTACCAATAGCAAAGACTCAAAAATACCAAAGTAGACCCAGAAATCCACACAAAACAATCTAAACTATGTCATTGTCAAGGTGAAAGACAGAATATTGGTGGACTGTACTGTGGTTGTCTAGTAGTTAAATTTGAACCCTGACAGGTTGAGTATTTGAAATTGTTTGCCAACTAAATAATGCCAGTAGTGATATATTCGTGTATATTGGGGTGTGCTGGATATGAAGAGTTTATTTGTTGCATTTTATTACACCTACTGAAAGCTGTGCTCTGAATGAACTGCTGCATGTTAACATAGCTGGAGTGGAAGGCTCCCAGGTAAATAATGAACCACCATCCCTGGTGTGGGAATTAGTGTGCGTGCCTCAACAGCTCTTGTCCCCATTTTGTGTTTTGGAGACATAAAAAGAACTGCTACTGTTCCACATTGTAGTTTATGATCTGCACATTATATTAACATGGAAGGATTTTATGTGTGCCAGTGTCAAAGTGAAGCCCCTCTGAATGCCTCCCTCACCAAGATGGTGTCTGTCTACTATTAGATTATTTGACTGACAATTTTATCCAAAGCAATTTACCCTTGCATGTATTTTTACATCTGGGCATTCTACTGGAACAATATGAGTGAAGAACCTTCCTTTAGGAAGTATCCCTTTACCTGGGATTTGAACCCACAACTCTCTAGCTATGAGTCCAGAGCCTTGACTGTTACACTACCCAGCGTGGCCTAGGACTTGAATTTTGGTGCATGATTAGCTGTTGAATAATTTTCTCTTCAAGCAGAGCTTGGGTACTAAAGGCCTTGAGGAAAATAATCAGCTCAAGTTATTATGCCCAGGGTTTACCTGATGTCAGACAACAGATGATACAGATTTTCAGATTAGTTCTGCTAACAGACACTAGTTAGGACAGGGAGTCTTTCAAGTTGAAGGGGCTGAGCTCTGAGTGTTCTCCATATGAACAAAATGGTTCAGTAAAATGAAATATTTTCATGATGTTAGAAATCTGTTTTTGCCAAGTGTATGTCAGCACCGTACCTGCAGAGAGTGTAAATATACAGGCGTTGAGATGCATTTGTCCTGTTCAGGCCTCTTGACTTTCAGACCATTTGAATGCTGGTTTTTCCTACTTGTCATTGTTGTCTTTGTTGTTGTTTAATGGTACAGCTGGTTTCTAAATTACGAGCTTTCATATTTTTCTATTTGTAAAGAAGTCCTTTGTGTTAACAGTATTATTGTAAATGTGCATAAGCAGTGCTTATTAATATGGAATATTTGCTATTTCTTGTTATTTTATTGTTGTCAATGAACTGGCTTTCATATTGTATTGGCTAATTTGCATTTTGGACATGTATTATTGTTTACCACAACGAATTTTCACTGGGGAGTTCATTAGTCTTGCTCATATATTTTTTCTTGCAATTGTTAAATTTAAGTGATGCAATAGCTACTATATGAGACACAGATCTTGTTTGTAAAAGTGGTGATAAGCATTTTCTTCAGGTTTCAGAATAGGTCCCTTTTTGACCTTAGAAGTAAATTCCACATAAACCCCTTTTCCTCTAAGTCTAACTTATCACTACCACAAAGAAACTTTTTTTATTTCAATTAATGAAACATACAAACAGTGGTGCAGCAAAATAACAGACAACATTTAAGAATAATTACCTGTCTTATAGGTTCATTTCAAGTCTGACTGGCCCAAGCCTGTTTTTTATTAACAGGCCGCATAGTGCTCTAGCAGGGCGTCAAACAAGGTTTTTGTTTGTCTGTTTTGTTTTTGGTGTGATTTTGTGGTTTGTTTTTTAATTAAATAAAATTTCATACTCATTGAATTTCTCATGACTGACTGTGACAGACTTGGGTGAAAGAGTGGTTTGGGACTGGGTTCTATTTGCAAATTTAAAAAAATAACTAAGGAATGAAGTAAAGAAATGGTCACCCCTTTACAAAAGGAATTCCATGTTAAGTAAACATTGTCATCATGCCATGTCATTTGCCAAACTGCTCTATACCATACAGTGTCGCCAATCATACACGGGGACAATTTGGAGGTAAAGGCCGAGGGGGGAGATTTGGCCCGGACACCAGGATAACTCCCTACTCTTATCGAGAAATACCCGGGGATCTTTAATGACCACTGAAAGTCAGGACCTCGGTTTAACGTCCCATCCGAAAGACGGCGTCCACTACAGTATAGTGTCACCGCCACTATTCTGGGGCATTAGGACCCACACAGACCGCAGCACTTAGTGCAGTAGTTAGTGGGAGCCCCCCGCTGGTCCCACTAACACCACTTCCAGTAATAACCATAGATTCCCTGGAGATCTCCCATAGTAAACGTTGTAGTTTGATATATTTTAACGTTAATTTCGTTCACATTGATGTGTGTGATTTTCAGGAGTTGGTTTTGTTGACACATGGCTCCTGCACCAGTCACAAGTTTGGGGGGAAAATTGTTGTCTTCATATTGCTTTTTTACTCTTTCATGATACTCCTGGCTGCCCTTTCAGAAACAAGACTATCAATTTAACTAGGGGTTGCTGTGCTCAGATCGAACCAGTGAAAGAAACTAGAGCCAGGGACCCACTGCTGGGTTTCACTTCAGGACAAGAGGCCTATTCATGGCCTAACAGTCAGAGCACTGTGCAATGGGCCCTGAAGTTAATGTATCATGTGCTGAATATTTGTACTCTTTAGGGGGAAAAAGGGGGCATAGCAGTAAAAGAAATAGAAAATGTGGATCATGTGGTTACTAATTGAATCCAGACCTTGGAGCATTTCTCTGCTGACATGATGCTCCAATTACTGTTTCTGCACAGACTAAACAAATGAAATGTCCTCTGTAGCTCCTTGCTCAGGCAAATCCCAGATGTGACACAGAGGTCAATGTAACAGACCTATTATAACTCAAAAAGGGTTAAGGATAACAATGTAGAAAGGAATCTTTAAAACTTGATAAATCTGTGCTAAGTGTCAGGTGTTTCTTCGTTCCTTTAAAAGTAAGAATCATTATGTGATGTTACTTCTCCTTTACAGAATGGAAAATTAAACTGAATATTCCACTGTTTATAGTGGTATACCCTCTTAGTGCAATATGACAGGTTACTATTAAGTGTGGTATCTTTTATGTCTAGTCGCCCTAAGAAAAACAACAGAAGAATTTATTTTGTAGAAATATGCACAGTGTGCAAACATTCCCTTTATAGTATGTTTACATTTTATTAACTTTCACTATTCTGACACAGAAATGTTTTCCTGGAATTCTACCACCACAAGGAAATTTAAGTTTTTAAGAGAATGAAATTTTGCCTTTACAGAAAAACAAAAGACCACCCTTTGGGAACTCCTATTGAAATGCTGATATCCGAACTGTATTTCACAAAAGTGTCCATATAGCTTATGATATCTCTGAAGCTCCAAGAAGGCCATTTTATTAATTATTAATTTATAACTACACTTCCCATCTGTAACAAACATACTAATTCGTAATTCAAATCTGTAGGGACCATTTCCTATAATAACAAGGAGAATGAGAGAGAAAAGAGACATAATGCATTTCCAAGCATGCAACACAAAGAATTGTTCTACTACCGAATACTTTTTTCAGTGATGTAACAAAAATGATATTAGGACATTTTGTTTTTTTTAATTTGTTTGTTGTAACTTTTTAAAAAGAAGTATGCCTCCTCAGCACCTATTTATATGCCTGAACTTGGCCTTTGTATTTCCAGATCAGGT